GGGAACGCAGGGCGGTACGCTGGGGGGTTGGGGGCATTTGGGTACCACCTTGCGTACCCGGTAAGCTGATCCAGCTTGGGAGGAGGGAGCAAAGGGAGGGAGACTTTGGTAATAGGCGATTGTAGAGCAAAAACAAGCTTACCAGAAAGAGTTGATAGAGGAAACACAAGCTTAACCGGAGCACGCGCAACCACAACCAACCTTGATAGTAGGGGAACCATGCGATAGCCACGTCGATGCTTCCCTCCTCCTCTGCTCCCGCTTGCCCTACAGTGACTGCTCTTGACAATGGGATGCGGAGAGGGGGATGAGCGGAGGGATGCACAGGGAAGGAGACAGCATACATGGAGGGAAGGAGAGGGCAGTTCTTGCTTTTGAGAATTCTCAAAAGAGAGAAGTGTCGGGTTGAGAGGGTGATGCGAGGGAAAGGAAGAGTGGCGGCGCAAGGCCATGTGAGTGAGAGGATGGGATGGTGTGTGCGAGAACATGGGTGCTCAGATTGAAAGTTGAAACTCACTGCCGAGATTGGGCTCCTTGTTAGTGAATGTACCATCATCCATGCTGCAGGCATGGGCGAGTCTGTTTTTGAGTCGACTCAAAAACAGAGAACACGCGAGTCAGATTGAAAGTTGATTGAAACTCACTGTCGAGATTGGGCTCCTTGTTAGTGAATGTACCATCATCCATGCTGCACACATGGGCGATAGGGAGGGGATGGGGAGGGGATGGGAGGAGATGGGAGGAGATGGAGAGGAGGTGATACGGAGATGGAGCGGAGATGAGGAGGAGAGTGAAAGGGCACGGCAACGAAAGGGCAGGACAATGAAGGGAAAAGGTAACGTGGGACCGGAAAGCAACGTACTTGTAACCATAGGCCCTTGATGACGTCGCACATGCCTGTCGCCTCGCCAGCACATGAAAGCACAGGGACAGCATCGCAGAAGCGCACAGAAGAAGTAGTTAAGCGAGGTCATGCGAGGCTGGCGGGTGGGTCATGCGAGGTCTGTACTGTATGAATGACAGTTTGATGGTGGTGCATGAACACTGTTACTCCAGCTTTCATCGTAACTTATTGCACCTCCTCGTCCCATCACCACGGTTGCACAAAACCAGCCCATCTCATCTCACCACTGTCTCACAACGCATCACAGTCGCACAGTACAGCCCAGCCCAGCCCACATGTCATCTCACCACGGTGCCGTAGAAGACGGGCTTGGACCTGTTCCACTGCTGCCCGTTCAGCGCCACACTCGCCATCATCACGCCCATGTTGATGCTCGGACTCCACGCCTGCACCCAGCAGGGTTAGTAGATACAACAGCGGAGGAGGAGCGGGAGCAGCAGCAGGAGCATTAGGAGCAAGCTACACATCAATACAGGAGATATTGGCAACAAGAACATTTACTCTTGCAACATCCTCCTAACCTCACCTTAGCATCTCCACGGCAGCCACCCCCTCTCATCCACTCATACCTCTCTTTCCCCTGCCCCACTTCCCCAACCACTGCCTTGTTCCTTCATCCTCTAACCCTCCCTCTGTAACATTACTTACCCAGCTGTCCACCCAATCCCCTTCCCCACCTTCCACCCTCCCCCACACCACCCACCTGCACAGCAGCATTCTCCGGGTCATCCGTCTCAAACCCCCGCATCTCCATCAGAATTGCCAGGCGGTTTTTGAGTGTGACTATATAACTACCCTCCACCCCCCACCCACCCACCCACCCACCCACCCACCCACCCACCCACCTGCACGGCAGCATTCTCGGGGTCATCCGTCTCAAACCCGCGCATCTCCATCAGAATCGCCAGGTTCGGCTGCGAGTACGGCCGCCTCGGCCCGAGCCTCGGCGACAGGTCCCCGGGGTTCCACCGAGCCACGCTGAAAGGCACGGGGCCCTGGCCCTTGATATCCACGGCTAGGAGGTTGCTGTTGGTGGTGGTACCGTCTGAGAGGTGGTGCGATGCGTCCATGTGAATCACTGCGCCTGTGACTGACGAGGCCGTGTATGGCGGCGGAAGGGGGGCATGGGGAGCGTCGCGCGGGGGTTGCGGCGTGGGGGTGGACCACTTGCGGGGGACTGGGGGGAGGAGAGGGGAGAAAGGGGGGGAGAGACGGGGGAGGGAGAGCGGGATGGGGAGGGAAACGGGGAGAGGGGTGGTGGGGATAGGGAAAAAAGGGGCAAGGAGGATTGAAAGAGGAAAAGGGAAATAGGGAACGCGTTGGCTGTTTGGGAAATAGGGGAGGGGGGGAAAGGGGGGCGTTGGGGAAATACGGGGAGATTGGGGAAAAGGGGGTCTGGAAGAATCGGAGACGGTTCGCAAAAGTCGCGTTCTAGCCCTCTCTCTCCATACTCAGCGCACCTGAATCAGCTTCGACCCCTTTCAACAGGCATGTCAGAGATACTAGCGCCACCGCGGTTGCTACCGATGCTACCACTGAGTTAGACCACCCCATTGCCGTCGCGCGCATGCAGACTCCGCGCTGCGCTGAAATAGAGATTATTTTTCCTTCCTAGGCGCCTTGAAGCGATAATCCCGCGCTGCGCTAAAGGAGGCGTCGAGAAGGGTAACTTAACGTGGGTCACGCCGGAAAGTGCTCCTAAGCACTCAAGCTTCTCTGAGTCCTCGTTAAAAGTACTGGACAATCAGGGTCCTTGGCATTTATCAGAAGCAGGCGGCGCCGTCGAAGCTTCGGAGCGGACTGAATGATGGAGAGAATGTGTGGCTGCAAGCAATGACGGTAAACGAGGACGAGGGAGTCGCCGTCACATCGGCATACTAGGCATGACGAAAGTCGACGGAAAACGTTATCTCAACTGAGCAAAGCGGCATGGCCCATTGCACTTTTATGTCGATGCGAAACAAACAAGCGAGCCAGAGCTTGCGAGTCGCACAACTACAATCTAGGGTGAGAAGGCAATGGAAGACATGAAGGTCCCATTGTTATTTCAAGGATGTGTGGAATGATATGTGTTCACGCTTGGTTCGTTAAAAGTTGAAACTAACTTCTGCACTTCAGATTGTCGGCGGTGTTCTCTAGGCATTAAAACAACACAGTTCACAATAGAAACACCTAGGAAGCACAAACTCAGGTTCAGAATCTCAGCGCAAGGATCAACCAAATCTAGGTTTATATGATACTGGCAATGACAGTTACATCCAGGGGCATTTTTTCAAGGGTGAAATACCCTGATTCCCCTTTCTAAAATCCATTTTTTAACGATTACCCTGATTCTGAAAGGGTGGGTGATTTTGTACCCTTTATTCAAAAGTGTGGAGTTTTTTCTACCCTGTCAAAATCAGTGTGCGCTAATTCTTACCCTTACGCATCAGCGTACCTTCGCCACTCCCAGCCCCACTCTCCCCCATTCCCTCGCTTCTCCGAGCCGCCGAGCCCCATTTTCCCGTATCCCTCGCCACTTCCCGCTCACCTCCCCTCGTTTCCCACAATTCCCTCCCCACAATTCCCCCATTTCCGTTACAAATCAGGGTGCTTAAAAGTTTACCCTGATTTTGAAAGGGTGGAAGAAAAAATACCCTGACAGGCAGGGTGACGTCATCAAGGCACCCTGATTCCCAAGAGTGCCCCAAAACCAAAAATAGGCCCTGGTTACATCCCAATGTGAGAAATCATATCGTGAATGACATTCATTGATTCAGGTTGACTGACAGGTGATGTGGAGTAGAATATAAACATGAAGACATCGAGTTCGACCAATACCTTGAAAAGTTGAATCACAAACAAACTTAGAGACAGAAATTCATGTGAGGCGACCAAATGATTCGCCGCACGAGGCAGCCAGCGCCATCCGTGCCATCGCCCTCGTCACCTCCATTGCCCGCCTCACTGTCGGAGACGACTGACCGAGCAGGTGTGAGTCCCTTCCCTTAGTCTTCCCTCCCTTGCCTCCCTTCTCTCTGCGTCCCCAGGACTACTCCACCCTTCCGCCCATCCCTGCCCTTTCGTCCATCACCTCTCTTCCGTGGCCTTCCTTCCATTTTCTCAACTCTCCCTCCCTGCACTCAACTTTTTTCTCACTCTCTGCAATCAGAGTTCCTCTCCTCATCCCACTCTGCTTCTCTTCTTCCTCCCCCGCCAATCTTCGCACTCTCCATCCCCCAAGCACATGTGATTTTCCATCTTCTGCATTTCCATGGTGGGGAGACAGTGACAGAGGGAGGAATAGGAGGAGTGGCAGCGGCGCGGGCAGGGACAGGAGCAAGGAAGTTAGGGGCTGTGTGGAGGCTCAAGAACCATAAACATTTAAGTCAACGCCAAGGGTAGCTTGAGTTTCAGTGTTCACCTCAAGCAGCAGATGGCAAAGCAGGAGCAGGAAAGGCAGGTGCTCACAGGGTGGGTGACGTGATGGTGGGGACAGTGATGGGTCTGGCGCAGGTGCAGGTGGGATGGGGCCGCCTGCTGTTGCACATAGCCCTGCTGCTGCTGCTGCTGCTGCTGCTGCTGCCACCGCTGCTGCTGCCGCCGCTTCTGCCGCTGCTCCTGCCGCTGCTGCTATCCAGGCAGTGGTTTCAAAGGCAGCTCCTGCTGCTACTCCCATGATGGAACAGAGCAGCAGCTAGGCACAGGAGCGGCAGGAGATGAAGCAGAACAAGCAGCAGCGGTGGCAGCAGCAGTGGAGGGTGAGGTGAAGAGGAGTGTGACCCATCTGAGTTGCTATGGAGTGGGCAGCAGGGGAAGAGGATCCGCCGAGCATACCCACCATGGTGCCCGAGGTGCACTATGTGCTGCTGTGCTGTCCACCCACATGTGCCTCGCTCTCTGCGCTGCTGCCACCCTGCCACAGGTACAGCGCAGGATGAACTTAAAGGGTTGAGAGGATGTGGACGGGGTACAGGGTTGGGTGAGGAGACGGGCTGGGAGAGGATATGGGGAGGAAACGGTTGGGGAGGGGGGGGGGAAGATAATGAGGGGATGAGGGATCAGATTTCTGTTTCGCTTGCTTTGTCCCCCCTCTTCTCCATCCTCTCTCCTCCTCCTACTCCTCCTCCTCCTCCTCCTCCTCCTCCTCCTCCTCCTCCTCCTCCTCCTCCTCCTCCTCCTCCTCCTCCTCCCCCTCCTCCTCCTCCTCCTCCTCCTCCTCCTCCTCCTCCTCCTCCTCCTCCTCCTCCTCCTCCTCCTCCTCCTCCTCCTCCTCCTCCTCCTCCTCCTCCTCCTCCTCCTTCAGCACTGGTCCTTTCTCCGTTTTCTCAATCGTCGTCCCACCTTTCTATCACTATTCCCTGCTGCACTGCACGTTCCCTCCAGTACCTGTTACCTTGGCCTTGCTCCCTCCACTTTCCACTTCATGCTTCCTGTAGACTCATTCCTTCCGTCCGTCCATTCTGTAATTCCTTCAAAAAGGGAGTAACAGAAGGCATGAAAACGTTATTCCACTTCCAAGATAGTAAACATTAATAATAATAACAATAACAATGATAAAAACAATAAAGAACACACACGCACGCGCGCTCGCGCGCGCGCACACACACACACACACACACACACACACACACACACACACACACACCCCCCTACTCCAATCTTATATCGTACATCATGATACAACCATACAGCGTGAATAAGCTGATCGCAGATTTCAATTCACCCGACAGAGCAAAAGGCTAAAACGCCAGGCACCTCATGCAAGGGCAAATCCGTGCCGTAATACTCTGCACCAGGCAGTGGCGTTTCCCCAATGAAGGATTCAGCTTCGATGGCAATAATGGTATCCTCCCAGACGCGAATAATGTTCTTGAACATCCCAGCACGATGCTTCAGCGAGTTCGGATTGATAACCTTCACCGATCCTATTTCAATAAGACTGTTGAACTCCTTGAGGTTGGCGGTTTTCACGTTGATATTGAGTTTGCCCTTCGGATGCTGCCTCAAATTCTCCTTCGTGACAACATTAAGAGGCTTTTGGCCTTGCTTAATGCGCGCTTCATTCATCTTACCGGATCCTTTCTGGCCAACTGCGTTGTCTTTCATGGCTTGAAACTTTTCTCGGTCAACCTTTGCCTGCAAGGTCTTGAACTCTAGCTTTTCCCCAGCAGGTCGTCCAGCGTCCTCCAGCCGCTTCTGCTTCGCATAGGGTCGCTGATGGGATGTGCTTTCCGAAAAGCAAGTTTCGCCGGTTGGCTTATTTCCTTGTTTGTGGCCGGGTGGGAACCTTTGATTCGCCACAGCCCGGTCAGCGACCTTCTCGGGCAGAGTTCGATAAACACGAGTTTGAGCAGCCTTCAACTCTGCTGTCCTGGCGATTGCATGACCAGCAGCTGCTCCGCCTATCCCACCAATAAGTCCAGAACCGACAATTTCTCCCGCAGAGCAAGACTGGCCTTCAATGGCAGAATTAGCAGCACTTTCCGCCATTCCTGTTCCAGCTCCAACGACAGTTCCGACAACTGTGGCAGTGCCAGCTCCAAGGGGAGCGAGCACACCGCCAGAAGCAACCACGATAGCCGCACCAAACGAGCAGACTCCAGCTTTGGCCCAAGACTTGCCACAACGAGCTCTCAGATGGTTTCCTCGATCATAGTTGCCCTTACCGTCTTCAATAGCAGCTTGGATTCCCGAGCCAATGCAGCTGTTCTCCACATACTCCTTGCTCCATCTTCCTTCCGCCTGATCAGGTTCGCCAGCGATGCAGTCACCCAGGGACTTGCCCGCGTAGGATAGCTCCTGAAAGACGGGAATGTCACTGAGTAACCCGCCTCCCGTTAGGGCAGCACCCGTCGACCTGCCCATGCACTTGGCGTATTCCTTGGCAGTCTCATGGTTTCCGTGGATCGCGTGGTGGAGAGCGACGCAGCCAGAACCAATGATGCTGCTCTTGGCGTAATCGTCCCAACACTTGATTGCTCCATCGATGTCACCAGCAATAGAGTGACCAAAACTTTTCAGAACGGTGAAGACTTCTTGAAGGAATGGAATTTGAACCATTTTGTCGGAGTGAAAAAAGGTAACGACTTGAAAGAAACGAAACGACTTGAAAAAGGTAACGACTTGATAAAGGTAACGATTTGAAGACCTACCATACGAGGATTTTATAGGGAGGTGTTAGGCGTGAGGGTCTGCGGAACCCCTTGTTCCGCCGACGAAGCGCTAGTCCGACAGACGAGCAGCAGCTTTCTGGTCCGACTGGCATCATCTGGTCCGACTGGCATCATCTGGTCCGACTAGCATCAGCCTTTTGGTCTGACTCGCATCAGCCTTTTGGTCCGACTAGCATCAGCTTTTTGGTCCGACTAGCATCTGCTTTCTGGTCCGATCTGTAGCATCAGCGTTCTGGTCCGACTGGCATCAGCCTTTTGGTCCGACTAGCATCAGCGTTCTGGTCGGACTAGCATCTGCTTTCTGTTCCAACGGACAAGCAATACACCCTGCCTCTGGGTCGCGGACCAGCAGAATGACGCGTTTATATGCGATGCGATAGGCGCAAATTGGAGTTTAGAGGCCAACCGCTTAGATTTGTTTTGTGTTTTTTGTTTTTGTTTTTTGTTTTGGGATGCATTTCGCTATAGAGCTAGTACATCCACAGTCGTAATTTTCTTCTCCTTAGAATGAACTACCAGCAGTGTATCACGAACATGACATGCGATTTCGCAGAAAAAAAAAAACAAATTCAGGGTTATATGTAGGGAAAATATGCCACTAGTATAACAGTGGCCTCGATAATCTGTCTAAATAAACAGTGGCCTCGATAAACATGGTCACAGCTGGTAAAACATGCCCAGCCAGGTATATATGGTCAGAGGCAGAAGGTATACATGGTCACTTGTTCACTCTAAATTTGTAGTAGTACACCGAGTGTAGTGTAAGGTGTCAAAACCGAACCCAATCGAGGAACCGTCTCAAATCCTTCTAACATGCGCTATACCCCTTCTGGACTTGTGGTCATGTGCTGTGCTGATGCCCGTGGTCTCCCACCCCGCCCTGAAACGCTGCAAGCATCAATGGATTTCGCCACAGCCACCAGTTCGCAGTCTTCCGCTCAAAAACAAAAACCTCTCTTCCCCGCAAGACATCTCATTCAACCGTATTGAAGTGGACTCAATACCTGTATCCAAACCAAACCATGTCAGCCTCAGCAAGTCCACACCAAAAAAGCAGAACCTGCAGTAGCAGCCCATGAAGCACGCAGTTCCAAGGGCTAGGATCCCGCCCCACTATTCCTGCTTCCATTGAAGCTCGCATTGGACGCTAAGAGCCGTCTTTACACGCTCGTAACAGACGATGCCGCTTCAACAATTGGCGTTGTGTGCTCCCGCTGGACTTCAACTGCCGGTTCCCACGCACAGACACCCAATTCGCGTGCACACACGGCGTGCCACGTGCTCCGTACGATGGTTACCATGCAACTCAATTTCGGCAGCTACCACATTCGGCGCTCGTTTTGCGAAGCAATTGCGCTCCAGTAACATAGAAGACAGCAATGCAGCGTCACGAACGCCAACCGTCGGATCTATCCGGGCTGCGGATCGGACCAACAGTGTGCGAGCACAAGCCGTCACTGTTGCCGATGATTCTAACCCGTCTGCCTCCTCGACCTCCTCTCCCTCCGTTCCGCTCCGCGCTGCATTCTTCGACGTGGATGGGACGATAACGAGCAGCAACGTGGTGGCCGCGTTTGTAGCACTGCGTCTGCGAGACATGCCGCTGCTGGAGAAGACGGTCTGGTTGCCGTGGTTCGCGCTGAACGTGGTACTATACCTAATTCTAGACCGGATCGACCGGGGGCTGTTCAATCGCACGTTCTACCGCAACTACAGGGGAATGCTCGTGAGCGAGAAGGAGGCTATGGCGGATTTCGTGCACACGAATTACCTCAAATCAAAGTATGATAATGGAAGAAGCGCTCTGTGTGGGAAGGCTAAAGAATGGGGAGGGGGGAAAGAATCACGAGAGAAAGACAGAGCGGCATGGCAGGGGTTGGGGGCGAGAGGGTCGTGAATGAAATCTTGGGAGGATAGATGAGGGAAGGGACTTTAAAGAATTTTCCTTTTCCTGTTACCTGATGAAGGCATTTTCTTAGCGCTAGCTAATTATATCAATCTTTCCTGGTCAAACTAATGCAATGCACCATTATTCTCCGTGCTCCCCTTTAACTGTCCCTGTCCGTTTCCTCTGCCTGTCAGGGTGTTTCCCGGGGTGCTGGAGCACATTTCTCGCCTTCGCTCTGACGGCTTCCGAATTGTCCTTGTTACTGGCTCTCTTGATTTTCTCATTGAGCCTCTTGCAAAGGATCTCTCTGCAAGTATATTGCCGCTTCCACACACTACTCCTCTTACTGCCTGCTTGATTTCACATTAAATGAGGCCACGAACTCAGACACAGGCATGCAAAGACACAGCCCCTTCACTATCACCCCTTGTTTTCTGTCAGTCTCTCTTTTCACTCACTCTCCCTTCCGTCCCCATCTCTGGTGTCTGCCAGGTGCAGTTTTTGCCGCGAAGCTGAAGGAGGCTGATGGAAGGTTTACCGGGGAACTGGAGGGTGAGGCAGTGAGCAGTGCAGAGAAAGCAGCTGTGATCAGAGGGTATGCAGAGAGGGAAGGTATTGCAATGAAGGACTGCTATGCATACGGGGACAGCTACGCCGACTTCCAAATGCTGCTTGAGGTGAGTGAATGTGAATGCCTCTTCAAACCGCTACATGTTTGTAAAAGGGCGTAGTAATCCTGCCTTCATATCCTTTTGCCAATCTTGAATTCCGCAACCTCCAGGTTGGTCACGCCTATGCAGTGCGGCCAGATGATCGACTGCGTGAGCAAGCTATACAAAGAGGATGGATAGTGGTGGAAGATTACAGCCAGCTTGGTGGACTCGAGGCAGATGTTTAATGATGGTGGCTATGATGTTTGTATTGCGTACTTTTTTCCAGTGATAATTTATGATACAGGTTTGCCTGGAATTTCTGTTATCGCGTACAGTATCGCTTTTCATTGCCAGTTGTTTGCCACGTAGATTCCCGCCTGAAGGTCTCCAAGAAAACATTTGTTCATAATGTCTAAGGTTGGCCGCTCTTCGATATACTCAGTATAGTCTCTGTCGATCGACTCGGGGTCTTTAGGGCGCGTTCGTTCCATTGCTAGTTCGAAAATAGGTTCGAACATTATGTGGTTACCGCTTTCGCAAATCTCGTCTAAGACATGTGACGAACATCGCTAATTCATGTGACGAAAGTTCGAACGTGAAAAGTGAACTTGACTCGAGTCTAATATATGAACGTGCTTGTGCACGTGAAGCGAGCTTGTGTGTTTTCAGCACGCACGAGACCATGCAAAATTGACGAGTACATTGCGAAACAAAGAATAGCAGTGTGTTGACTTGGCGAGCATGTACCGGGTTACAAAAGGTTCGAATTTTGGTGTTCGACCTTGCGTGCGTGATAGCATCTTTGCAGTGTCATTTCCGCAATGTTCGAACTTCGCTACAAGGAATGTCGAATTCCATTCGACTTAAGTTCAAAAATATAAAATCGCTCCCAAAACATGAAGTTTGTCAAATTTGACGGAACGAACGCGCCCTTAGCGCGCAATCTTTTCAACTTGGAGTGCAGGCATCCCTCGTATTACTTTTGAAGGATGCAGTTCATTACTCAGTGTCTTCCTCCACAGTCGTAGTTGGCAGGCTTCCTTCAAACGATGTGACTGCAAGGTACCCAAAAAAAATTGGAAAGAAAAATTGCCGCAGCGCGCTAAAACCGAGCTGGGGTGGCTTCTCCGCCACCTCGCTGCCCTGGATCCCTTGATGTTGACGTGTTAACGCTGGTTCGGTCCGTATCCCCCCTCCCTTACCTATCCATCCCAGCCAGCCTGCCTGGCCGGGGTGCCCAAATCCCACCGAAACCGAACCTAGGTCATGACAACCTCGAAATCTCGACTTTTCCGAACGTGAAACGCTTTGCAAACGCGCACCAACCAACCAACCAGCAGTCGAGAAGTTCGTCTGGGTCATCAAAGCGACTGACATGATGGGTCTCCGTGGATGTCGGTGACATTCCCAAGACGCTTGTGGGGTCATTTCTGGAAGTGGTGATGGCGGGGGTCTGATCTGGTCTGGTTTTCTGTCAGAGTGATTCATTTGGGTTCAACAGTTGGGAGTCCGCAATCCTGTCGAAAACTTGCGGTGCTGTTGCGTTGGAGGCGACTTTCTAGCTGTAGCAATAAACTAGACCCACGAGATGCGTGGGCACAAACAAGTAAGAGCTAATACGCACGAGATTACTTCATTCCTCCGTCTCTTAAGTTTCAGCGAGCAGCAGATTAAGTTAACCTCCTGGCTACTTGAGCTTGCGTTCACGATAATTTGGGAATGTTAACGCTAGCATGGCTCGCACGACAAGCTCGCAGAGCGACTCAATTCACTCGCAGCGAGACCTTCACCGTCTCTCTCCTCGCTGCAACTCGAGGCGTCACCCTGTCAGCACTGATCCTTTACCTCCTCATAACCACCTCCTCCTGGCTTGAACCCGAACGACGGCCACCAAATTACCCCGTCCCACAATTCCCGCAATTCCACGTGGACCCCGCCTCGGGTCGCATTCGCGACGCGTACAACCGCGAGCGCGTCTTTCACGGCGTGAACGCCGTCTTCAAAGGCCCGCCATGGCACCCTCCCGTGCTCGACTCGTTCCACCCAGAGCTCTCCTTCTCCCCGGCCGACTTCGCAATTCTCCAGACCCTAGGCTTGAACGTGGTGCGTCTAGGAGTCATGTGGCCCGGCGTGCATCCGGCGCGAGGGGAAAAGAACGAGACGTATCTCCACGTAATGAAGCGCATGGTCCGGCAGATGCGCGCGGCTGGAATCTACACCCTGGTTGACTTTCACCAGGACGTTTTCGGGTCGCGATTCTGCGGGGAAGGCGCACCGTCGTGGCTGTTCGACGAGCAGACGGAGTCAGTGGCAAGTCATGCCAATCAAGGCGGCTCCGGCACTGCTGCTAGCCTTGGCGGCACCAGCAGCAATTCTAACGGCATCAATACTCCGAACGTCAACGGCAGCAGCAGCAGTGGCGGCAGCAGCAGAAGTAGTAGCAACAGCAGCACTCCGCAAGACGAAAGCACCAGCTTAACGAGTGTAAGCCGCAGCAGTGGCATCATAGACGGTGGAGGGGGCATGCTGCCATGCGTGGGTTTCGCTGTGTGCATGCGACCAATCGAATACGCCAAGAGCTTCCCCGAGCCGCTTAGCCCCAGGTTCCATTTGCTACCACGTGGAACGCTGGATGACGAGGCAGCAGGCACAGCGGTAACGCCAGAGCCGCCAGAAACGGCAGCAGCAGCACCAGAGACCACAGATACTGGGTCGCACACAGGCTTCTTGATCGGACACGCGGAAACCCCCGCAGAGGCGAAATCCGGCGAAAACGACCTGGTAACCGCCTCCCACGCGTCCGAGTCCCCGTCCGGAACCCCAGGCACGAGCAGCAGCAGCAGAAGCAACAGCCAGGCCCGTCAGTTTCACGCCAGCGATCCAGACCCGAAGCAGTGTGAGCGGCACTCGTGGAGCGACTACCACTTCACGTACGCCGTAGCCCGGGCCTTCCAAGACCTGTACGAGAACCGATGGGGCTGGAGAGACCGCATGGCGGAGTACTGGGCAGAGGTAGCGCGGACATTTAAAGACGAGGATGGAGTTCTGGGGTATGATCTTATCAACGAGCCCTGGGTCGGTGACGAGTTTTCAAACCCCATGCTCATGGCGCCGGGCGTTGCTGATAAGCTGAATCTGGCTCCGTTATACGAGCACCTGCAAGCGGCTATTCGCGGGGAGGATGCAAGTAAACTGATTGCGTTTGAGACTGTGACGTTTGATGATGCGGTCAGCGGGCTGCGGTGGGTCCCGGGCGGGCAGGCGTGGCGGAACATGAGCGTGCTGAGTTACCACCACTACCGGCCGCCCAACGTTGCAGTGCGGGCGACCATGAAGCAGCGCATGGCGGAGCGCAAGCGCCTGCAATGTGGAGCCATGCTCACAGAGTTCAGCCTCCCGAGCGTTCCCTTAGGAATCAAGGTGGGGGGCAGCCGCCTGGACAGGTTTTTCGGAAGGGGTGGCTACTCTAGCAGAGGCATCGGTTCTGGTGGTGAGAGGCCGGGAGAACGAGTGCTCATGCAGAGTAATGCTTCGGGTTTTCAACGAGCCCCGGGTTGCACGGTGCACAGAAGATCGTTGCAGCGGACACTGCAGCGGAAAGCGTTGCCTTGGGCGGAACAGATAGCGCAATCAGCAGCAGGGAAAGCGGTGGTGCGAGGTTTGCTGAGCTGTGGTGAAGCAGAGGCAAAGGGTGCTGTACAGATGCAGGCGGAGAAGGACAGGAAGAGCGCCAGGGAAGTGGGCATCACGGGACAACCAAGCAATGGAACAGTTGACCCGAAGCACAAAAAGGACGAAGAGCCTGGTCCGGAGGCATGGAGAGAGATGGAGGAGTTGTTGGATGCAGCAGATGAGCATGTGCAGTCCTGGATGGCGTGGGAATACAAGGCGTTTCTCCCCATCACAGGCGCTAACCTGGGACTGTTCCACCGCAACGGCTCGTTGAATATGCGCCTGGCCTTGCTCCTTGCCCGGACGTACCCACAGGCTGTTGCAGGCCATATCCTGCAGTTTTTCTTTAATACTTCTGCCGCCTCGTTTCATTTGAGTTACCTGGCGAACCACCCTCTGCCACTGGATCGACAAGTTCGGCCGACTACCTGGTTTTCTTCATCTAAAGATGGAAATGAGCAGGGAAAGGACGGCTCTTCAGCAGCACCTGCTGGAGTGGTTTTTCGGACGGAGATTTACTGCTTTCGGTGTGGGGAGGCGGGGTGGAGCACAAATGTGCGTGTGGTGCCTGCAACGGTGAAGTGGACAGTGAAAGGGCGTATGGTGGAGGTGGAGCATCTGGTGAAGGATGCAGGGAAGCGGGTGGATGTCTGGATTACGCACGCAACAACGGATGAGCCGTCTGACAAACCTGGAATAGCAGTCAAATGACTGACGGAAGTCAACAGTGGTGAATTAACCCCTACACTAAATAGCCTCATGACATCTGATGCTACTAAGTACTGACCTGTAACTAGAAGTGGTGGTAGTGGTAAGTATGCTAACCTGCATTTTGTTGGACTAAGACTATATATGCCTCAGCACCTAGGAGTTCACATTGTATACATTTTTTTGACTGATCTACTCCCTGCTTTGTTCTCCTTAACACTTACTACGCAAAAACAAATGGAGTCAGAATGCTATTTACTTCTGTTTTAGTACTGCAAAATGTTAAAGAAGTGTTTTCTATTGTCGTCGAAACCAGTCTACAGTAACCGTCTTCCCTCTCGTCATTTCATCTCTTTTCTCCTCCCACTGATTCTCTCCCATCCCCAAGGCAAGGCAGCCATGGCGTGCCCTGTTCCCCTCTCACGCGAGCTCTCCTCTCACACGGCTCCCCCCACGCTCGTCGCTGATTGGCTGCGCGACGATCAGGAGGCTCCTCCCACTGGTGCTAGATCGCACCATGCATTGTTCGCACTACTCCTCCTAGGTCCCCCTGACTTGCGATTAGGGTTTTGCATTTTCAGCTCAGATCTGGGCCTCTGCCGTTTCCGGCATTGTTTTCATTTTTTGCAATTTTACCAGTTGCTTAGCATTTTCTGGGCTCGCTATTTTTCCAGGCCCCAAAAGTGGCGAAATAGTCTTTCCGGACCATTCACGTAGCTCGCGTAGACCATCCTTTCTTGACGTCGTGTTTGATGAGAAATGTCTTTCACGTAAACTCGGCATCGGCCAGGCGTCTCTATTTTTTCCAGCATATTGCACACACGTAGAGGAGACTAAGTAGCAATAGCAGGCCCACATCCGATCGGCTTGTCTCTTTACGCTCGTCGCAAACGCAAGACTTTCCCGTGTTTTCGACTTTCGCGTTGCCGCTCTCGTGACGCTCGTTTTCTTTGGTGCCAGAAAACAACCAACGCACGCTACCGTCGGCCGCTCGAAGTATAGATTCGCCCGTCGACTCTTCAGCCTTTAAGCTTGACGATTAACCCGGTCTGTGCGTAGCTTCAATCAGCCTTTCGCCTGTCCTTCTGGATTGACCTTCTTAGATTCACCTTTTGTCCGAACCAAGTCCGCGTAATCCTCTTCAACTGCGCGTTCTCTGTCAAACGGTCCAAGAAACTAGAGCAGAACGGATAAGATTTGAATGTTACAGTAGAGCCGTTCTCGAACATAAGGGACTGTTTTTCCACGACGGCTCTTCTCGAATTGCCTCTCCGCGAATGCCGGCGTGAAACCTCGCAGCGCTCGTCTTGTGGCGCTCAGTTAACCAGTCCTTTCGTGATTTCTGGTCTACCACCCGCCCACTCGCTCCGTCTTCCGGTTTCCTTGCTCCGACTCTTCCCTTCCGCACCCCGGGGCTTGCACTCGCGGACAGCTGCGCGGATCCTCCGCTGACGGCTGCGCGGATCTTCCGCGGCCGGCTGAGCGGACGGTTGCGCGGATCTTCTGAGGAGTCCGCGCATCCGTCGCCCGTCCGCGCATCTACTCCTGCACTGGCGCAGCCGTTGCGGGGATGGATGGGATAGGCTGATTCGGAACACAGAGGGGTCTACAGGCGACAACTCGTGGCTATAGGTTTTGCGAGAGGCCAGGGAAGCGATCAACTTGGCAGAAAGTTGTGACGTGTGCCGTGCGCGGGTGTGACGTGGGCGTGTGCCGCTGTGTGAGGTGACCGTGTTCCTGACGGCTGCTGCAAGCTTCAATAAGCCAGACGGTACGGCGTTGCAAGGGAGGCCGGATTGCAGGCAGGCAGGCAGGCAGGCAGGCATTCAGCTCGTGCTTTTTAGCAGTTTCCACTCCGGATCACTGGATCGGCGTGTGAGAAATTTTAAAAGATCTCAACGGTATCTCGTTCTCATTCGCTGTCTAATCTCCGCTCCTCCGCCTTTGCGATTGGCACTCCCCGCATGTGCGGTAGCTTTCCGCCTCTTGCCGCACCCTGTTCGCCGTCCGTTCTTCCCTCACTCCGTCCCACTGCTTTCCGTCCCCGCTTTACCTTTCACTTCTTTCAGCCAGTCGTTTCCGGCCGAATTCACATTCTTTTGACTCCCTCTTCCTGCTCCCTTCCTCCGGTCGAGCCTCCTCCCCTCCCCCGACTACCTCGCCCGCTTCCCTCTTCCACCTCCTTCCTTGGCTCAGTTCCCCTGGCATCAGAATCCGTGTTCGCCCTTTCCGTGTTCGCTCCGTGCTCTGTGCCGTGTGGTGCAGGTTATTTCGGCCATGGATCGGGGATGGCAGAACCAATTTCAGCAACAGCAGCAGCAATTCCAGTACCAGCAGTACCAGCAGCAGCAGCAGCAGCAGCAGCAGCAGCAGCAACAGCAGCAGATTCAGCAGGCGCCATATCAACAACCGCTGCCTTTCCAGCAGCAGCAGGCATTGCAGTATCAGCAGCCGCTGCAGTATCAGCATCAGAATCAGCCTCTGGAGCAACAGCAGCAGTTGCAGGCTCAGGGGATGGGGTACGTTGGGGGAGGCTATGCGTTGAGCCAGGGACAGGGGTATAGCAACGCTGGTAACTTGGGTGTGGCGGTGGGGGGAGAGTGGGCAGCGCAGGGGGGATTGGGGGAGGGTGTGGGGCAGAAGTGGGGGACGGGCGGTTTGGCGGAGGTAGGTGAGGGGGGGTATGGGGGGGGAGAGGAGCAGCAGCCTGTAGAGGAGGAAGACGAGGAGGAGGAGGAGGAAGAGGAGGAGGAGGAGGAGGAAGAGGAAGAGGAGGAGCAGGCGCAGGGGGGTGGGGTTGAGGGGGAGGGGGAGGAAGAGGAGGAGGAGGAAGAGGAGGAGGAGGAGGAGGAGGAGGAGGAAGAAAGAGGGGAGGATGGAGAGGGTGGGGGCGCCGAAATTGCAGAGGGAGGAGAGGAGGGCGAGGGCGAAGGGGATGCAGAAGAGGAGGAGGATGAAGAAGAGGAGGACGGAAATGAGACGAACGAAGGTGGTAATGGTGCTGGTGAGGAGGAGGCAGAGGAGGAAGAAGAAGAGGAAGAGGAAGAGGAGGCGGAGGGTGAAGGTCAGGAAGCCGGTCGGGGTTCAGGGGAAGGGGAAGGGGAAGGGGAAGGGGAAGGGGAAGGGGAAGGGGAAGAAGAATGGCAAGAAGGGGCGCAGGACGACGAGAGTGAGGGAGAGGAGGAAGAGGAAGGGGATGAGCAAGAAGGGCAGCAGGTACACGAGGCACAGACGGAAAATCAAGGAGATGGGGAGGAGCAAGAAGAGGAGGAGGACGAGGAGGAAGAGGAGGATGAGGAGGAGGAGGAAGAGGAGGAGGAGGGGGGAGGTGAGGAAGAGGAGGAGGAAGGGGCCGACGACAGACCCGAGGTGGGTGGTGATGGTCATAGCGGTCAGGATTCTGGTGTGAGGCCATGGGTGGGGTACGGTGGAGAGGGAATTCCGGGGGTTTCTGGTGGTACAGAAGGCCAGTGGGTGCAAGACGGTGTGGGTGTAACGGAAGGGGCAGTACAAGGTGTGGAGCAGGAGGAGGAGGAGCAGGAGGAGGAGGAGGAAGACGAGGAGGAAGACGAGGAGGAGGAAGGGGATGAGGTGGAGGAGGAGGAGCATGAGGAAGATGAGAGGGAGGAGGAGGGAGACGAAGAGGAAGAGGAACATCAGGTGCAAGAAGGAGAGGAGGAAGAGGGGGAAGATGAGGGAGAAGGAGGTGTGGAAGGGGGAGGGGCGGAAAGAAGACGAAGAGGAGGAGGAGGAGGAGGAAGAGGAAGAGGAGGAGGAGGAAGATGCGGGGGATGCGGACGGGGAGACGGTAGGGGGGGTAGATCTGGAAGCGGATAGGGTTGAGACAGGAGGGGGCGAACGGGAAGAAGAAGAAGAGGAGGATGAAGAGGAGGAGGAAGAGGAGGAGGTAGAAGACGAGCAGGAGGAAGAGGAGGAGCAGCAGGAGGAAGTAGATGAGGAAGAGGAAGAGGAAAGCGTTCAACTAGTGGAAGAAGAGGAAGGGCATGGGGAAGAGGTAGAAGCGGAGGAGGAGGAGGGAGAGGGAGCGGAGGAGGAACATGAAGAGGAGGCAGTAGAGTTGGAGGAAAGCGAGGAAGAGGAGGAAGAGGAGGAGGAGGAGGAGGAGGAGGTTCAGGGCGAAGCAGAAGGGCGCGAGACGAATCAGATGAATGAGATGAATGGTGAGCAGGGAGAGAGGGCAGGCACGCAGGAGAGCCTGGTTCGGTCCCAGGGTCCGCCTTATCCGCCTTATCAAGGGCAGATGGGCTCGCAACGGAGCATGCAAGATGACAAGGAAGGGGCGCGCTTTCATCAGTGGCAGGAGGAGCATCAGCAGCAGCTGATGAACGCATCAGCAGCACCGGTACCGGCAGTACTCGCAGCAGCAGCAGCAGCAGCGGCAGCAGCGGCAGCAGCAGCGGGAGATGGGGGAGAAGCAGGGGGGTCCCAGAGGCAGCAGCGGCAGCGGCGGCAGCCCAAGTGGCTTGAAGAGGAGGGGGAGGACGTGCCTTTGTCTCACATGGGGGGGAGGCGACTAGGCAAAGGGAACCAGGCAGCGCAAACTCCTGCTGCTGCTGCTGCTGCAGGGGCTGGTTCTGGAGCAATGGCAGGAGGAGTGGTGCCAGGCAAAGCGGCTAGCGCCAATGACATGGTGGCAGCGAGAGGTGTTGGTCGAGGGATGGTGAAGCAGGAAGAGCTGGACGTCAATGGACTCGCAGGCATGAACCACCAGCGGCAGCACCTTGCTTCTTCCGCTTCCCGTGCTGCTGCCGATGCCGCTGGCGCTGCCGCTGGCCCTGCTGCCGCGGCTGGTGCTGGTGCTGTAGGGAAGAGAGGGGAACGAGCAGTGCCAGGCTTCCAAGCAGCCTCTGCTAAGTCTGAGTTAGTCGATGGTACCTTGCTCTTTCCTGCAGGCGCTGCTGCCTCTAGTCCGTCTAGACCTTCCGTGCCCGTTTTCACTCCTGCAGGAGGAGGCTCCAGTCAGTTTAGAGAAAGTGGTGCTGCAGGGGCTGCTGCTGCTGCTGCTGATGGTTATTCTGGAGCCAGCGGCGCCACTGGTGGTAGCTGCGAGCTGGTGGTGTCGAGGGATCGTGCGCGGTTGGATGCGGCGATCGCAGCAGCAGGCGTGCTGGAGTTATGTCCTGGCGTGCAGCTACGCATGCTTCCTGATTATGATGATATAGCACCGAGCTTGGGCCTCCCAGGCTATGCGGATGTTTACCTGGATGAACGGGCGTTGAATCCTAGTTTAGGACCGGGAGAACTTGCTTCTGTGGTTCTGGCAGGGGTTATTCAGAAGGAGAAGGAACGGCGGGAGTGGGAGGTGAAGCAGAGAGTGAGAAAGGAGCTGGAGAGGTTAGAGGGAGAGAGGATGGAGAGGGAGAGGTTAGAGAGGGAGAGGTTGGAGCGGTTGGAGCAGGAGAGGAAGGAACGGGAGAGGAGGGAGAGGGAGAGGAGGGAGAGGTTGAGGAGGGAGCAGGAGAGGAAGGAGAGGGAGAGGCAGGAGAGGGAAAGGAAGGAAAGGGAGAGGAAAGAGAGGGAGCGGATAGAAAGGGAGAGGAAGGAGGCTGAGAGGAGGGAGAGGGAAAGGAAGGAACGGGAGAGGAAAGAGAGGGAGAGGAAGGAAAGGGAGAGGAAGGAGAAGGAGAGGAAGGAGAGGGAAGAGAGGGAGCGTCAGAGGTTGTTGGAGTTGGAGAGGAAAAGAGAGGAGGAAAGGAGAAGGGAGGAGGAGAGGAAAAAGGAGGAGGAGCGGCAGAGGCAATTGGAGTTGGAAAGGCAGAGGGAGGAAGAAAGGAAGCGACAGTTAGAGCTCGAACGGGAGCGAGAGAGGGAGAGAGAGAGGGAGAGGCAGCGGGAATTAGAGCGAGAACGAGAGAGGGAGAGGCAGAGGCAGTTAGAGATACAGAGGGAAAGGGAGCGGGAGCAAGAGAGGGAGAGAGAGAGGGAGCGGCAGAGAGAGAATAGCAGAGGAAGCGGCCGCTGCGGCGGCGGCAGCGGCGGCGGCGGCAGCAGCAGCAGCGGCTGCAGCAGCGGCAGAAGAGAGTAGTGGGGCAGATCAAATGAAATTCTGGGGAGCTTCGAGAACAAGGGGGTCGAGATCGGGTGTGGGTGAAGGTGAAGAAGCGGGTTTCCCCAAGGGCTTTCCTGAGAGGGGGAGAGGCGAGTGGAATGCAGATATGGTCGCTCAGTACGGCGGCAACTTGCAACAGCAAGAACAGCAACACCAGCAGATGCAACAGCAGCAGCAACAACACATGGCTGCAGGTATGGCCTGGCAGTATGTGGTGCAGGTAGGTGAACATTTTTCAGGCGTTTTAAGAAATTGGCAGCTTGTGGTGGAGGTAGGTGAACGTAGGCAGGTATGTCAAGTCAACATATGTAGGTATGTTTACCAATGGCGGAGGCATGTTCTTGCAAGCACCCATCTTGATTACCTCCCATTTTCGCCACAGTTTTCATGAAACGCATTTGGCGCTTCGCATTCGAACGAGGATTTCCATGGGGAGGTTTTTTTGCCCGTTTCATGTGGGTGCGTCTGACTGTTCGTTCTTCTCTGTCGACTAGAAAACAGGAAACAGTTAGTTCTCCGATTTCCCGTCCCTTTTCTCCTCGTCTCCCGTTGCTCGTCCTGTTGTGAAACGTGTGGCAGGGTTGGCGCTGGGCTTGCCTGTGCAGGGAAGTCCCGGAGCTGGGTTCGCAGCAGGCATGGAGCAGCAGCAGCAGCAGCAACAGCCGGGGATGCTTGTGCAAAAGCAGGGTAGGCCGTCTCTAGACGCTGTTCTGGCAGCAGCAGTGGCAGCAGGGAGTAGCACTGGTGCTACAGCAGGTGCAGGAGCAGCTGACGCAGCAGCAGCAGGGGGGGCAGCAATGCAGCAGTTTTCTCTTGGCGCACCAGGCTCTGCTACCCCCTTCCCGCAACAAACCACGCCACCATCAGCTCTCACCCCCCCTCCACTCTCCGCCCTCTCTGCTCCGTCGCCCGCTAAACCGGCCGAAGCTGCTGGCCCTGTGACAGGGATAGTGCAGGGGAAGCGTGGGGTGGTGGGCGGGGGAAGGAAGGTGCTGTCGAAGGTGGAACAGGAAGCAGCACTGTTGAAAGAGATGGAGAAAACGGCCAAGGCATGGAGCTCCATGGTTCGAAAAGACCTGCTGAAGCACCACCGGCTGTTTGTGATGACGCACAAGAAGCAGTCGTTGGATTGCAAGCGCACGGCAGAGTTATGCCAAAGAGAGGTCCGCGCACGCGTGACACGGTCTGTTAAAGCAGCGAAGGGCGCGCCGCTACGTATGAAGCGGCTGGCCCGGGATATGGTGTTGTTCTGGCGGCGGTATGACCGCGAGCAGACGGAGCTAAGGAAGCGGGAGGAGAAAGAGGCGCTGGAGGCGAGGCGCAGGGAGGAGGAGCTGAGGGAAGCACGGCGGCAGCAGCAGCGGCTGAATTTCTTGCTCACGCAGACAGAGCTGTACTCGCATTTCATGCACTCGAAGGTTGCGCCGGGGGGTGGGGCGGCTGGTGCTGCTGGTGCGAAAGCGCGTGCAGCAGCGACTGCTGGTGCTGCTGCTGCTGGTGCAACAGCTGGTGCTGATGGTGCTGGTGTTGGAGGAGAGGGTTTGAGTGCAGAGGAAGTGGAGGAGAATGAGAGGATGGCAGAGGAAGCGAGGTTGGCTGCGGTGCAAGCAGCGAATGAGCAGCAGAGCCGCACGAACCTGTTGATTCGGAATCAAGGCGGCTGCGAGGGGAGGGGGAGAGGGGGAAGGGGACGGGGAGGAGGAGGATTGGGGGGGGCAGGGAGGGAGAGGAGGGCATGGCTGCGGATATGGATCTACTGAACCCGTACGTATCTCATTTATATTAACACAATCTCTTTTTCTAAACCCTCTCTGCTCTGAATATCAGCTTCCTCTCCCACACACCCTCCCCCCTCTTAGTCCACCTTATCCCCCCCCCTCTTCCCTTCCTCCCCTGTTGTCTCTAGCTAATTTTCACTCCTGCTGCCCCTCCCATTACTGGCTGTGCTGCTGCACACGGCAGGTCCACAATGCCGGAAGCATCAACAGTGGCGCAGCCAAGCATTTTCCGAGGGCGGCTCAAGGAGTATCAGCTCAAGGGGCTGCAGTGGCTTGTCAATCTCTACGAGCAGGTGCGTGCGTGCGCCTGTGTGCGTGCGCTAGTACTCTCTTGGGGGTTCACTAGCCACCTATAGACGTCTCTTGCATGTTTTTTCCCAAGGAGTACCAGTTAAAGGGGCTGTGGTGGCTTGTCGACCTCTACGAGCAGGTGTGCTGGCAGGCAATGTCTTGTGCTGGTCTTTTCGATTGTGCTGTGCTCCCAATCCGCGCAATCCCCTTCTCATTCACTCTTCCTTTTCGTCCCAACCTCGCCCTTAACCCACATCCCCAACCAACCCCACCCCTGTTTCTTCACCTCCCCCCACCCCTATTCCCACCAGGGTCTGAACGGGATTTTGGCGGATGAAATGGGACTGGGCAAGACCATTCAAGCCATGACCTTCCTTGCTCATCTGGCCGAGGTGCGTGTTGCTCAGACCAGCTGCGTGATATTGTGTGTGATTCAAGACATCTCAGAACAAACTTGCTATCTCAGCAGTCGTATCCCTTCAACGCACTCGCTTCCCTCCCTCGCCTATTTCCCCTGTACCTGTGCACATACTCGACCTCACCTGCTCTGCTCTGCCTCTGCCCGCCCTGTACCCCCTTTTTCCCCTTCACCCTCCGTCGCCATGCCTTTTTCCGTCTGCGCTCGATCATCCATCATGCATTGTCCATTGTGCATCGTGCGTGCATCGTGCGTGCATCGTGCGCGCATTGTGTGTGCAGGAGAAGGGCATTTGGGGGCCCTTCCTTGTGGTGGCGCCAGCGTCGGTTCTCAGCAACTGGGCGGACGAGCTTGCACGGTATGGTGTGGCCTACTACTACCTGCCAGTGGCAGGCATGGCATGGCCTTTGAGACGGCTGGTCTGGTATGCGGTATGCCGTGCATCTTGAGCTGGTTTTGTCGCAGAGTTTGCCTCCCTACCAGTTTCCGTCCCATGGGTTCAGCCTCCTGCCGGAGTTCAAGGTGCTGCCGTACTGGGGTGGCCTGCCAGAGCGCACCGTGCTGCACAAGAGACTCCACCACTTTAGACAATCCCTCCCTCCTCCCTCCCTCCCTCCCTCTATCCCTCCCTCCTACCCACCTGTTCTGCCAGGTTCCTGCCGGAGTTCAAGGTGCTGCCGTACTGGGGTGGGCTGCCGGAGCGTACAGTACTGCGCAAGAACATCCACCTAAAAAAGCTCCTACCTGATCCTCTCCCACTCTCCCATCCACCCGTCCGTCCTGCCAGGTTCCTGCCGGAGTTCAAGGTGCTGCCGTACTGGGGTGGGCTGCCGGAGCGTACAGTACTGCGCAAGAACATCCACCTAAAAAAGCTCCTACCTGATCCTCTCCCACTCTCCCATCCACCCGTCCGTCCTGCCAGGTTCCTGCCGGAGTTCAAGGTGCTCCCATACTGGGGTGGCCTGCCGGAGCGCACAGTACTGCACAATATCCACCCGAAGAAGCTCTCCTCCCTCCCTTCCTACCCTGCCTGCATGCCTGCCCCCCTCCCTCCCTCCCTCCTACCCACCTGTCCTGTCAGGTTCCTGCCGGAGTTCAAGGTGCTGCCGTACTGGGGCGGCCTGCCGGAGCGCACGGTGCTGCGCAAGAGAATCCACCCTAAGAAGCTGTACCTTCTCTGCCTCCTCCCTCCCTCCTTCCCAACCGTCCGTGCACCTATCCGCCCATCCGATCAGGTTCTTACCGGAGTTCAAGGTGTTGCCGTATTGGGGTGGGCTGCCAGAGCACACCGTGCTGCGCAAGAACATCCACCCAAAGAAGCTCCTTCCCTCTCCTCTCCCTCTCTCCCACCCACCCATCCACCCGTCCGTCCTGCCAGTTTCCTACCGGAGTTCAAGGTGTTGCCATACTGGGGTGGGCTGCCGGAGCGCACAGTGCTGCGCAAGAACATTCACCCAAAGAAGCTCCTTCCCCCCTCCTCTCCCACCCTCCCATCCACCCGTCCATCCTGCCAGGTTCCTGCCGGAGTTCAAGGTGCTGCCGTACTGGGGTGGGCTGCCGGAGCGCACAGTGCTGCGCAAGAACATCCATCCGAAGAAGCTGTACCGCAAGGACGCGGCCTTCCATGTGATGGTGACGTCGTACCAGCTGCTGGTAGCAGACGACAAGTACCTGCGGCGAGTCAAGTGGCAGTACCTCGTTCTGGACGAAGCTCAGGCCATCAAGAGCGCTGGCAGGTGCGTGGGTGCTGAGGCTCAGGCCATCAACTCGTTGATGGAAGGTGAGTGAGGAGTGCAGGTGAGGTACACTCTGTCTGTGTCAGGTGGCAGGCAGCACCTGCAGCAGAGGCAGTTCCCCCCTCACGGCAAGAACATCCATCCGAAGAAGCTGTACCGCAAGGACGCGGCGTTCCATGTGATGGTGACGTCGTACCAGCTGCTGGTAGCAGACGACAAGTACCTGCGGCGAGTCAAGTGGCAGTACCTAGTGCTGGACGAGGCGCAGGCTATTAAGAGCGCCGGCAGGTGGGTGCATGCATGCTGTTCTTTGATGAGTGAGTGAAGTGAGTGCGGTGCCAGTGCACTGTGTGTGAAGCGGCAGTACCTCGTTCTAGACGAGGCCCAGGCAATCAAGAGCGCTGGTAGGTGCGTGCTGCGCTTCGCTTGCACTACCCCCTGCATCTACTCCCAGCTTCTCTCACCTGGTGTCTTTTGAGGCAGGCGCCTCAAAAGCCATCCACTCCTTGCCTTCTCTCTCTCACACCTGGTGTGCGTGGTGCTTGTGTGCTTACACTTGGTCGTCTTGAGCACTGTAGATTCGCAATTCTTTATCGCACGATCCTCTGCATCTCCTCCGCGCTCCCCTCACTCCTCCACGAGCAGCATCCGGTGGCGCACGCTGCTGTCGTTCTCGTGCCGCAACCAGCTGCTCATCCCCACCGCGCCGTGACTTGGCATCATCCCATCCCTCCTTCCTGCATCTTTTCCCGTCCCCACCCTGTCCCACCCTCACCACGAGCAGCATCCGGTGGCGCACGCTGCTGTCGTTCTCGTGCCGCAACCGGCTGCTGCTGACGGGCACGCCCATCCAGAACTCCATGGCGGAGCTGTGGGCGCTGCTGCACTTCATCATGCCCACGCTCTTCGACAGCCACGAGCAGTTCAGCGAATGGTTCTCCAAGGGGTGCGTCCTGTGGGGAGGTGGGGGGAAGGGGGAAGGGGTGGGGGCAGAGAAGGGTTGGGGGAGAGGTGGGGGAGAAAGGGATGGGCGGGAGAGAGAGAGGTGGAGAAAATGGGGAGGGTGGAGAGGGGAAGGGATAGGGAACACTTTTGAGGCACCTCAAAAATGGGGAGGGTGGAGAGGGGAAGGGATAGGGAACACTTTTGAGGCGCCTCAAAAATGGGGAGGGTGGAGAGGGGAAGGGATAGGGAACAGCGGGCAGGGGACATGGGGACAGGGGGGTAGGGGGGCAGGGTGGCAGGGGGCCAGAGAGGGATCATCAAAGTCTCAAGAGTCGTGTGCGCTCTGATGCTGTGGCGCTGCTGCTGCTCTTCACCATGCCCACCTCTATCCTCCTCTCCCACCTCTCCCACCTCTCCCACTCCTCTCCTCCTCACGCACCATCCTCGTAACTTGACTGACACCGCTCTCCCTCCCTATCAACTTCTTGCCCTCCAATTCTCTCTCCGTGGCACTCTTTCCTTGTGGAGCAGCATTGAGGGGCATGCGGAGCATGGAGGGCTGCTCAACGAGCATCAGCTCAGCCGTCTGGTATGCGCCCTGTCTCACACACCCATTGCGTTGCACTCTCCTTCTGATCCACTTTCTAATACCCTTTCTGATTCCCATTTCTGATCTCCACTATTGGTTCTTGCCGGAAAGATGACGACTGACTTTGCGACAGCTTCCCTGCCTGCCTGTCGCCATGTCTGTCCCCTGGGCTGTCACCCTTCCTGCAGCACACGATTCTGAAAGTATTTATCCTGAAGCGGGTGAAAGGATGTCTTAACGCCCCTATACTCCTCCCTTGCATGCGCTCCTCACCCCATCAATCCTCAGCACGCCATTCTGAAGCCGTTCATGCTGCGGCGGGTGAAGAAGGACGTGGAGACGGAGATGAGCGGCAAGAAGGAGCTCGTGGTACCGTGCGAGCTGCGCGCGCGGCAGCAGGCGCTGTACCGCGCGGTGAAGAACAAGATCTCCATTGCTGACCTGTTTGACAGCGTGGGCGGGCAGATCAACGAGAAGAAGGTTCTGCACCTCATGAACCTCGTCATTCAACTCCGGAAGGTAAGTGAAGGGAGGTGGACACAGGAAGGTGTGTGATGGTGTGGTGGTGTGGGAGGAGGGCGTTTGAGGCACCTCAAAGATCGACGAGAAGAAGGTTCTGCACCTCACGAACCTCGTCATCCAACTCAGGAAGGTGAGCGACTGAGATTCAAGGCCCCTCTTTTTCTAGGCGTTGGTCTGGGTAGTGGAGCTTGTGAGGGTCCGAGTGGTACAGATGCAGTCACCCATCTTAGGAAGGTGAGCGGTTGGGGCTCTGTTCCTGAAGGACTCGTCTGAGAAGGAGGGGAAGGCAGCAGGCGCTGTACCGCGCGGTGAAAGAACAGGATATTAATCGAATCAAGGTCCTCGTATTATGTGCTTTCAGAACCGTACTCATTTTCAACAACCAGATCACAGACCTGGTGGATATTCCTCGGATTTTGTTCTTTGACAGGAATGGTTTAAAGATCTGTGATCTGGTTGTTGTAGATCTGGAAGTAAGAAGTTTGAACGTCAATCTTTCGTTTCTTCTCCTGCCAGCAACAGGATAAATGGTCGTAAGAAGTGATACGATTCTGGACGCACATTAATCCATATGATCTCCGGAATGTGAGTTCTGGAAGGTGAACGATGGGCGGTGAACGGGCGTAACGAGGCAGCGGCGTGTTTCTACTTCGCCGTCACTTCCCATTCTTGCGCGCTGTTTGAGCGCAATAAGGCAGCACTGTATTTCTACTTCGCAACCATCTCCTGTTCTTGCTCCCCCCTCGTCTCAGCCATTTCCCCCATCCCTTCCCCGCCCATCTCTCCATGTGTGCAACCATCCGGAGTTGTTTGAGCACAACGAGGCGGCAGCGTATCTCTACGTCGTGGCTTACCATATCATATCCCACACGTAGTCCCATTTTCCTTCTATTCAACTCAACCATGCCTCCTCTTTCCCCCATCCCTGCCCTGCCCCACCCTCCAGGTGTGCAACCATCCGGAGTTGTTTGAGCGCAACGAGGCGGCAGCGTATTTCTACTTCCCAACCATCTCCTGTTCTTGCCCCCTTCCCCCTCTTCTCGGCCATTTTCCCCACCATCCCGCGCATCTCTCCAGGTGTGCAACCACCCAGAGCTGTTTGAGCGCAACGAGGCAGCGGCGTATTTCTACTTTGCCACCATCTCCCCGCCGCTGCAGCCCCCACCGTTCGGGGAGCTTGACTGGGTGCCGTACAGCGGGCGCCACAACCCCATCTCGTACACGGTACGTATGCATGCACGCTTGGTGCTCTAGTTGATTCCATAGCAGAGGTTCTATTTTCGGGGAGCTTGACTGGGTGCCGTACAGCGGCCGCCACAACCCCGTCTCGTACACGGTACGTATCCACGCTCGGTGCTTTAGTTAATTGGGCGCTTCAACCCAATCACATACTTACTATGCACAGTGCTGTAGACCTGAGGGGATTAAAGAATGTTGTTGCTGCACGACATCGCTCGCTCCCACCCACCCACCACATGCTTGTAATGTGTCTCACAATCGGACTCCCATCCGCCTCTCCCTCTGTCTCCCCTTACCGCACGCAGATTCCCAAGCTCCTCTACCGAGAATGCACGCCCGCTCTCCCGCCCACCCACCCACCACATGTTTGTGATGTGTCCCACAATCGGACTCCCATCCGTTTCCGCCTCTCTGTCTTCCCTCACTGCAGATGCCCAAGCTTCTCTACCGAGAATGCACACCTGCGCTCCCGCCCACCTCCTCTGGTGTGTTCCAGGGCTTCGCAAACAAGTGGCTGTACCACCAACTATCCATCTTCTCCCCCCTCCACATCCACCACTCTCTCTTTCCCCGCTCTCCCCCGTCCTCCTCCCCACCATCCTCCTCCTCTCCTTCCTCCCCCTCCTCCTCCCCCTCCTCTCTCTCTGCTTCTTCAGCCACTCACCAGTCCCGTCCAGTGCTACGCCTCCCCTCTCCTGCCTCTCCATCCGCCTCCTCTTACTCTTCCACCCCCGCTGCTATCTCTCCATTCGGGTTTCTCCGCCTGTTGAATCTAGCCCCTTCGGATGTCTCCTTTCTAGCTCGTGCCACGGCCTTTGAGAGGGCTGTTGCGGGGGAGTTGATGAGGCAAGCGGGGTGTGCGCAGGTGTTTATGGGGGAGGGCTCAATTGACTGGGTGGATGATTGGGAGGAGGATTGGGCGGTTGGGAAGGGGAGGCATGTTGAGGGGGAGAAAGAGGAGGAGGAAAGGGGGGAGGAGGAGGAGAGGGGAAGAGAGGAGGAGGGGATGGAAGAGAGGTTGTTGGCTGTACATAGATTGTTGTGTGTGAAGCCGAGAGGGCAAGGAGCTTTGTTGAGGAGACGAGAGCACTGGTTACGAAAGGTAGAGGAGAGACGATTTGGTGACAAAGAGGAGAGGGGTGTGAGGAAGGAGAACCAGGAAGAGGAGAGAGTTAAGGGGGAGGAGGCAGCGAAGGTAGGAGAGGAAGAGGAGGGCGGGAGGGTAGGGGAACGAGGTGAGGGGGGGGCGCGGGTGGAAGGGAGGAGTGGGGAAGATGTGGAGCGGGGTAACGAAGGAGTAGATGTTAAGAGAGAGGACGAGGATGTTGTTATGGAGGAGAGGAGAGGAGAAGAGGGGAAGGAGAGCGATAAGGAAGGAGATCAAGAAAGGGATAAGGATAGAGGGGGAGGTGAAGAGACGGAGAAGGAGGTAGATGGAGAGAAAGAGCGCGGAGAGGAGGCTATGGAGGTGGATGGGGAGAAAGCGAGTGAGGACAAGGAGGTGAAGGGAGAGAAAGTTGGAGATAGGGAGGAAGAGAAAGACGGGGAGAGGGAGAAGGATGCGGGAAAGCAGGCGAGTGGCAGTAATGAGGAAGATGTGAGAAGACGAGAGGTGGAAGGGAGTGTGAAAATAGAGGAGGTGAAAGAGGAGGCAGAGGGAAGAGGAGAGGGGGAGAGAATGGGGGGGATAAAGGAGGGTGGAGTGAAGGAGGAAGAGGGTGAGGGGAGGCATTCTAGTGATCACCCTGAATGTGTTGAGAGCAAGAATGATGTGAGCCTAGATAGGAGGAATAAGGAGCACAGCAGCAAGAGCAGCAGCAGGCAGAGCAATCCGGAGAGGACTAACAACGACAGAGAGCACTTGAAAAGTGCCCACACTAACAACAGCACTGCAGACAACAACGGCAAGAGCAGCTGCAGCGGCGGCGGCGGCGCAGCGGCGCGGCAGGGTGACAGCAGCAGCAGCAGCGACAACCAAGTGCCGTTGCTAACCGGCTGGCCTAGGGATCCTCCGTTCCTCCTCCCGTCCCCCCTCATCTCCTCCTTCCCAGACCGTCTCTACAACGCCACGTCACTCATCCGAGCCACCCGCACCTTCATGCCCCCCGTACGGGGCCCGCCCATCGATTTCCTCTGCCACGACCGCTCGTTCGCGTACCAGCAGCAGCAGCAGCTCTACCCGCCGTGGGCGATGCGTTTGCTGCTGGGTTTCACGCGTGTGAATGAGTTCTCTGGGCCGTTTCTACCCGCGGATCCGGGTGCGAGGCTGTCTGTTCGCCCGCCGGCTTCGTCGCCGGTGCTGGGAGTGATGGGGGAGGAGCAGGGGGGAGTGGAGGTGGTGGGGGGGTTGGGAGAGGGGATTCCGATGCGAGTGGAGGTGCTGCTGCTGGTGGTGGTGATGGTGGTGGTTTTTTGAGGGGAGGGATGGAGTTGCAGCTGCCGCGGCCGCTGCTCGGCGTGCAGTTTGATGTGGAAGGGTCGTCTCCGCCTATTCAGATATTTGACTTCTCGAAGATGCTCACGGTGAGTTCTGAGGCGCCCCAAAAGTCGTCTCGTAACCTGCAAGCTGCAGCTGCCTCAGCCGCTGTTGGTGTGCAATATGATGTGGAGAGAAGTCGTCTCCGCCTATCCATATATTCGACTTCTCGAAGATGCTCACGGTGAGCGGGAGGAGAGAGGGTGGGAGGGAGGGAGGGAGGGAGGGAGGGGGGGAGAGAGCGAGCGAAGGAGGGAGGGAGGGAGGGAGGGCAAGATTTTCAAACATTTGTGGATTTTCAGAAACACAAGCTACATGTGCTGCTGCGTGGTGTCTTTCGTCCTTGCTCCCTACAACCCCAACCCCATTCTCCTCACCTCTCCGCCCCCAGGACTCGGGCAAGCTGCATCAGCTGGACGTGTTGTTGCGGCGGCTGAGAGCGGAAGGGCACCGAGTGCTGCTGTTCGCACAGATGACCAAGATGCTCAACATCCTCGAGGTGAGTGCATGTACTTTTGAGGCCCCTAGAACTAGGTGCAGCTGTTCGCACAGATGACCAAGATGCTCAACATCATCGAGGTGAGTGTGTGGGGGTGGCTGGTGAGAGCAGATGGAGGTGAGTGCATGTACTTTTGAGGCCCCTAGAACTAGGTGCAGCTGTTCGCACAGATGACCAAGATGCTCAACATCCTCGAGGTGAGTGTGTGGGGGTGGCTGGTGAGAGCAGATGGAGGTGATTGCATGTACTTTTGAGGCCCCTAGAACTAGGTGCAGCTGTTCGCACAGATGACCAAGATGCTCAACATCCTCGAGGTGAGTGTGTGGGGGTGGCTGGTGAGAGCAGATGGAGGTGAGTGCATGTACTTTTGAGGCCCCTAGAACTAGGTGCAGCTGTTCGCACAGATGACCAAGATGCTCAACATCCTCGAGGTGAGTGTGTGGGGGTGGCTGGTGAGAGCAGATGGAGGTGAGTGCATGTACTTTTGAGGCCCCTAGAACTAGGTGCAGCTGTTCGCACAGATGACCAAGATGCTCAACATCCTCGAGGTGAGTGTGTGGGGGTGGCTGGTGAGAGCAGATGGAGGTGAGTGCATGTACTTTTGAGGCCCCTAGAACTAGGTGCAGCTGTTCGCACAGATGACCAAGATGCTCAACATCCTCGAGGTGAGTGTGTGGGGGTGGCTGGTGAGAGCAGATGGAGGTGAGTGCATGTACTTTTGAGGCCCCTAGAACTAGGTGCAGCTGTTCGCACAGATGACCAAGATGCTCAACATCCTCGAGGTGAGTGTGTGGGGTGGCTGGTGAGAGCAGATGGAGGTGAGTGCATGTACTTTTGAGGCCCCTAGAACTAGTGCAGCTGTTCGCACAGATGACCAAGATGCTCAACATCCTCGAGGTGAGTGTGTGGGGGTGGCTGGTGAGAGCAGATGGAGGTGAGTGCATGTACTTTTGAGGCCCCTAGAACTAGGTGCAGCTGTTCGCACAGATGACCAAGATGCTCAACATCCTCGAGGTGAGTGTGTGGGGGTGGCTGGTGAGAGCAGATGGAGGTGAGTGCATGTACTTTTGAGGCCCCTAGAACTAGGTGCAGCTGTTCGCACAGATGACCAAGATGCTCAACATCCTCGAGGTGAGTGTGTGGGGGTGGCTGGTGAGAGCAGATGGAGGTGAGTGCATGTACTTTTGAGGCCCCTAGAACTAGTGCAGCTGTTCGCACAGATGACCAAGATGCTCAACATCCTCGAGGTGAGTGTGTGGGGGTGGCTGGTGAGAGCAGATGGAGGTGAGTGCATGTACTTTTGAGGCCCCTAGAACTAGGTGCAGCTGTTCGCACAGATGACCAAGATGCTCAACATCCTCGAGGTGAGTGTGTGGGGGTGGCTGGTGAGAGCAGATGGAGGTGAGTGCATGTACTTTTGAGGCCCCTAGAACTAGGTGCAGCTGTTCGCACAGATGACCAAGATGCTCAACATCCTCGAGGTGAGTGTGTGGGGGTGGCTGGTGAGAGCAGATGGAGGTGAGTGCATGTACTTTTGAGGCCCCTAGAACTAGGTGCAGCTGTTCGCACAGATGACCAAGATGCTCAACATCCTCGAGGTGAGTGTGTGGGGGTGGCTGGTGAGAGCAGATGGAGGTGAGTGCATGTACTTTTGAGGCCCCTAGAACTAGGTGCTGCTGTTCGCACAGATGACCAAGATGCTTAACATCCTCGAGGTGAGTGTATGGGGGTGGAGAGGATGGGTGAGGCCAGGGGGGGGGGGGTGGGTGAGTGCAGGGGAGAGTTGAGCGCATGTATTTTAGGGGTAACCAAGGAGTGGGTGACGCTGTTTGCGCAGATGACCAAGATGCTTAATATCCTCGAGGTGAGCACTGAGGGGGGCTGGTGAGAGCAGGGGAGGAGGTGAGTGGGTGAGGTGCCTAAGAAATGAATGCTGCTGTTTGCGCAGATGATCAAGATGCTTAACATCCTCGAGGTGAGCAGGGGGGAGGTGAAGACAGGAGGTGGTAAGAGCAAGGGGAAGGCAGGCACGAGTACCTGTGTTGAGGAGTTGAATTCACACCGTTTTCTTTCTGTGTGGCCCCTCATGCTTCATATAGTCCTCCCACTTCCCCCTTTACCATGCTCATTCTGCCCTTATTCCCTCCCCTCTCCTGCCCTTCCCAGGACTACATGAGCTATCGCAAGTACAAGTACCTGCGGCTGGATGGTTCGTCTACGATTGTGGATCGCAGGGAGATGGTGAAGGACTTTCAGCACAAGTAAGTGGGTTTGGGGGGGGCTTTTTTAATATTATAGACTTTTAAAGCGCTGCAGGAAGGTGTGTTGGAACAATGAGTAGTACAAGTTGGTTCCTGAGAATTCTCAAGAACCTATTCATCAGAAAAATTCCAGCACTAGTGAGTGGTGGTATGGTAGGGTGACCAGGGCTCGTGAGGATGATCAGGAATGGCGGGGGCGTTTCTTGAAATGACGGGGGCGTTTCTTGGAGGCGTTTCTTGCAACGCCCCAAACCGCAAAGATTCGTTTCTAGATGGTCAAAGCCTTCCAGCACTGGTGAGTATTTTGAGGCGCCTCAAAACACAGAGTATTTAAGAGATTTTCCTTTTCCAGCTCTTGGAGAACTGTCAGGAGTATTGGAGCCGGTTTGTAGAACCTTGTTTTTTAGTGCAATGAGTTGGTGAATGGGTTTCAATACACTAACACCCCACTCCTCCTGTCCCTCGCAACACACCCGTGCAGATTCGACGTATTTGTGTTTCTGCTGAGCACGTGTGCGGGCGGGCTGGGGGGAAGGTTGATGAAACATGTGTTACCTTTCTTCACCACCACACCCCACCTCTCCACACCACACCCCTCCCTCCCCCCCCCGTGCAGATCCGACATCTTTGTGTTTCTGCTGAGCACGCGCGCGGGCGGGCTGGGCATCAACCTGACGGCGGCAGACACGGTGATTTTCTACGAGAGCGACTGGAACCCCACCATGGACCTGCAGGCCATGGACCGCGCGCACCGCCTGGGGCAGACGCGCGAGGTGAGGGGGAGGCGAGGAGGGTTGTGGATGGGGGGATTGGAAGGGGAAAGGGGAAAGGGGAAAGGGGAAAGGGGAGGCAAGTTGGAGGAAGGAGCGACTGGAACCCCACCATGGACCTGCAGGCCATGGGCCGCGCTCTTCGCCTGGGGCAGACGCGCGAGGTGAGAGAGGGGAGGAGTGGTTGGAAGGGGAGACGGGGATGGAAGGGTTGGGTCAGAAAGGGAAAGAGGAGGGGGAAATTGGGGAAAGAGGGGACATGGGAGAAATGGGGAAGTGGGGAAATGGGGGACGGTGGAGGAGGAGAAGATAATGAAGTGCGCCAACCAGAGAGGCCTTTGAGCCAGCTCGTTGCATCTTCTGCTCTTGTAATCGCCCTCCTCCTCTCCACATACTCTTCCGTTCCTCCCCCACCAGGTGACGGTGTGTACCGGATGATCTGCGGCGGAACGGTGGAGGAGAAGATAGTGAAGCGCGCCAATCAGAAGAACACCGTGCAGCAGCTCGTCATGACGGGGCAGGGCGGCGCTGCAGGCGGAGGGCTGGTGGCGGGGGGCGGTGGCGCGGGCGGCGGAGACGTGTTTGAGGCGGAGGAGGTGGTGTCGCTGCTGCTGGACGATGCTGAGCTGGAGGCGCAGCTTAAAGCCCAGCAAGAGCAGGCTGCAGCCAAGCAGCACTCTGTAAGTGCCTGTCTGGAGTGGGTGGGGGATGACGGGGCAGGGCGGCGGGCTGGTGGCGGGCTGGTGGCGGGCTGGTGGCGGGGGGGGGGCGGTGGCGCGGGCGGCGGAGACGTGTTTGAGGCGGAGGAGGTGGTGTCGCTGCTGCTGGACGATGCTGAGCTGGAAGCGCAGCTTAAAGCCCAGCAGGAGCAAGCGGCTGCGAAGCAGCACTCGGTAGGTGGGGATGGGGGTGCCTGGGGTGGGGGAAAAGGGTGCAGCATGTGGAGGAGGTGGTGTCGCTGCTGCTGTTAGATGATGCTGCGCTGGAGGCGCAGCTCAAAGCTCAGCAGGAGCAGGCGGCTGCTAAACAGCACTCGGTAGGTGGGGATGGGGTCTCTGTGGTGGGGATGGGGTCTCTGTGGGGGGGGGAGGGAGAGGGAGAGGAGGGATGGTGCATGCGGAGGAGGTAGGTGGTGTCGCCTGCTGCTGGATGATGCGGAGCTGGAGGTGCAGCTGAAAGGGTCAATTTGAGCAGGACAATTTGAGGTGGAGTGGGTTTAGGGTCTTGGGTGGAGTGGACAATTTCATCCTCATCCCCCATTTTATAACACACCCCCCCCCAACTCCCCTCCTCCCTGCCTCTTGCCTCCCTTCAGGATCGGCGGAGGCGGCGTGGGTCGAAGAAGATCCGGCTGGATGCAGAGGGAGGCGAGGCGGTGGAGGAGGAGGAGGGGGGAGGGGCGGCGAGGAGTCGGGAGGAGCGGGGAGGAGAGATGGCGGCGCAGGCGCGTCAGAGAATGTGTCAGGGGGAGATGCCATGGGAGGGGCCGAGGGGGCAGGCGCAGGCTCGCATAAGGTGAGACTATGAGAAGAGACCGTGAGAATGTGGCGTCATGGCGTTTTGAAAGCTCAGTGCACAGTCCGTGCTGCCTCTTTCACTTGTTTTCAGTGTCAGGTTGTGTCTTAACACATTGCTGTTTCCAGTCTCTTATTTCTCTTTCATTGCTCCCTTGTGAACTTACTGTTTCTGGTATCGCCGTGGATTCCCATTTTCCCTTCGTTTCCCCGAACGGCGTCCTGCATGCAAGACTCGGCTTATCGCAAGCCGTTCCCTCATTCCCCCTGTATTCCCGTCCTGCCTGTACCACCATGCTCCAATTTCCCTTGCCTCCTTATCCCAGCGTAAGAGGCAGTCAGATCGTCCACCCAGACCCGGAGGCAGAAGCAAAGGCAAAGCAGCCGCAGCTGCTGCTGCTGCTGCAGCTGCTGGTGGGGTGGCTGCTGGTGATGCTGGCATAGCAGTGGGGTGGACGTAAAAGAGGGAGAGCAGCAGGGGCTGCAGCTGCTGCAGCGGCGGCGGCAGCGGCTGCAGCAGAGGCAGCAGCTGCTGCAGCAGTGGCAACACCGGTAACAGTGGAAGAAGATGACAGGAGAGGAGGAAGGAGCAGGAGAAGGGAATGGATTTAGTGTGGGGAGACGGCAGGAGGGGGAGGAGGAGGGGAGGGGTCTGATATGCTAACAGGTCCGGAGGGTGGTTTGTCAGAAGCAGAGGAGAGGAACGGGTGGGGCGCGAGAGAGGCAGTTTTCCTGGAAGGAACAGCAGCCAAGAGACGGAGAGGACCCACCCCCCAAAGGAGGAGACTGAGTGCTATGGGATGGGTGAATGAGGGGAGAGGGGGAGAGGACGGAGGAGGGGGCGGGGGAGTGGGAGGGGAGGAGGGGGAGGGGAGGGTGGGAGAAGAGAGTAGAGGGGTGGGTGGGGGAGGATAGAGGAGGGTGGGGGGGGGGAGGTGCAGTGGGGGGGGAGGCAGTGGGGGGGGGGAGATGGGGGTGGAGTGTGCAGGAGGGAGGGGAGGAGAGGAGTCAGGTGCGGCCTAAGGCGCTGCGTGTGAGGTTGAATATGAGGCGAGGGAGAGGGGAGGTGGGAGGTGGAGGGGGAGGAGGGGAGGAGGGAGACAGAGCGGGTGACTGAAGCACTCAGCTTTTGAGTGCTTTTGAGTGGAGCACTCAATCAAAGGGGTGAAGGGAGATGGAGCAGGTGACTGAACTGAAGCAGGCAGGCGAGGAGGAGAGGGCTGTGTGAGGGCATAGCATGCATGGTTTAGGTTAGGTGGATTAGCCAGTGGTTTTTTTTCTGATGGCAGCAGCAGCTCGGAAATAAGCGAGTGGGGCAGCAGCAGCAGCAGCAGCAGCAGCAGCAGCAGCAGCAGCAGCATAACAGTGGGTCAGTTTTATGCTGTTAGCACCCCACCCCACGTCCATCCGGCCATGTTTCGGACTTCCACGGTTTCAAGAGAGAGCTACAGCGGATGTAGCATCTCATGCGTCTTCACACAGAGTTACCCAGGACTTGTGTGATAGGGCAAGTGTTTCACACATACAGGAATTATAGAGAGTATTGCATTGCATGGTGGTGGTGCCTCCTTCCCTTGCAGGTTGGATGAGTTGAGGCAACCAGGCAAGGCAACAGTGGATTTATAGAGACAAAACTTTGACCAGCCTTGAGGAAATTGCTTTTGTTTATGCATGGAGCAATAGTCTACATTAGTTCGAAAATGTACGGTAGGTTTGAATTCTATTTTTGTGCACAAATGCTATGCAAGGTGTTGATGGGTAGATAGCTACCACACTGTTATTACGCATTCTGCAGTGTTATTGCTGGTAGCTACCAAAGCAAAATGAGCCATGTACAGTTTTGCTGTTACCATAATAAGGTACAATCCGTCATCTTGGGATGGGACTCCAGCGAAGGTTTCAAACAACAGCATGGCTCAAATCAATACATTTTCTACACCGCAGCAACCAGCTTCATATAGCTGCACTGTTCAAGTCACCTGCACCACACCACACCGCACAACACCGACCCGCACCGCACCACCACCGCACCGCACCATCATAAAACTGCTATCAGCCGATTAGCGACTTCATTTCTCTGCCTAGCTGCGGCAGAGCGTTGGTGGCTGTGGATGCTGCTGCTGCTGCCTGAACCACCTCTTGCTGCCCCCATCTCCACTGCCGTCTCCCTCACCACGCCACTGTGCATCTGAAGAGAGGGCAAGGGGTGAGATGGGGACAAGAGGATTTTTCAGTCGGCTGGTAAGTCGATGCTGCTGCTGCCTGCATGACCTTGGATGTGCTGCCCCCATCTCCACTGCCGTCTCCCTCACCACGCCACAGTGCATCTGAGGGAGCGTAAGGGGTGAGATGGGGACAAGAAGGGTGGGAGGGGAGGGAGAAGGGATCGGAAGCGGGGGTTTGCAGAGTACTGTTAGCAATACGTATCATAGGCAAGAGTGCATGAGGGAAGAGGAAGATCCAGAGCAAAAACAAAAAGTTATGCATTGAGATCATCTAATTGAGACATTCCAAATTTTAGGCGCTCAATGCAGAGGGGCTAGGTAGTGATTTGGTGGTGGTGGGGACGATAACTGACCTCCTAAAAAAAAACGACAGGTAATACAAAAGTGCGTTTGAGATGCTGTGGAGAGGAACACTCACGAGAGTGGCAATGGCAAGCAGTGCTCGGTAGCGAACCTCGGGATCCGCCTCCGATGCTGCCGCCAGCTGTATGGTAGAGAGATGCGCAGACATTATGGGGATGACAGACAGTCAGGAAAGGAGGGCATACTGCTGTGTGATCGGATGCTGCTCAAGTTGTAGGGAAGAGGTGCGCAGACAGTGATGATGTTGTGGGTGGGGGGTTGTGTGGATGTGAGGCAAGTATGCAAGCGCGATGGAAAGGGATGGCATTGATAATGGTAAACGTGTGTATGAACAAACGGCCAGTGCAAGGATGCACGTGCATGGGTGTGAGTGGACGCATGGACGCAGAAACAAAGAACCTCGCTCAAGGAAAAGGAAGCAGAGGCCCTTGTGCAAAGCTTGGAGCACAGACAGGCCAACCTCGAAGGCAGCAGAGAGGGTCTGCACTGGCCCTCCTCCTGGTCCTCTCCCTTCGCTGCTGCACCATCTACCAGCAGCACTGCATAGCTGGTGGTGGCATGGTGGGAGGGCAACACAGCACAGCCAGTGATGCATGGCAGTGTGGAGGGCAGCGCATCGAGTGGCATATGAGGCATTTAGTTGTGCGAATGATCCGAATTATGGGAGACGCGGTACAAGCATGAGGTTGAGCGGAGTGGCAAAAAACGGTTTGAGTGGAAGGCGACGGAAGGTATATACTGGATGATGAGTTCAACAGCAGCAGGGGAGTGGACTGACTTGAGCAGAAGAGTGGCGAGAGCAAGTCGAACATTCTTATTGGAGGAAGAGACACAGGGGGCAAAGAGGTCGAGAACCTGAGAAGGACAGAGGGAATCAGGGGCAGAACGAGGGAGTGACGGATGGATCGAGGGATGGAGTGAGGGGAGTAGCGAGGGGAGAAGTGAGGGGCGCAGTGCGGAGGGGCGAAGTGAGGGGTACTAGAGTTGAGGCTATAGAGCGAGCTTATGAGTGTCATGTCATGGCAGGTGTGGCAAGGGGAAGGCGAGCAGAAAAGGGAAAGTAAGTTGGTGGAGAGGGTGGTCAGTGAGACAATCGAGACGACTACTAGACCAAGTCTCGACTGTTGAGTCAACTCAAAAATCCCTTGCAAAAAAAAAATCGGGGAAAAAAAAAAAAAAAAAAAAAAAAAAAAAAACCGGGACTGAAGGCTAGACCTCTGCGCGGTGTTGGCGAGGCCACTGGTGCATGGCAGGAAGGCCGAACGCATTGACTGCCACGCGCACGCCCGTGAGGTGGTTGGCAGGCGTGGGTGGGTCCGCTGCTGCTCTGCGCATACATGCAATCAGCATGCCGTCTGGAGGGAGGGGTGCAGAAGGGATGCGGTGGCAGGTCGGTAAAACTTGGCAAGGCGTTTGTTTCGAGTGCATGGAAAGTATTGGCATGGAGAGTGCAACGGAGAGAAAGAGTGCATAATTTGGTGAGCTATGCGAGCGAGCGAAAAGCATGAGTGAGCGAGGTGAGTGCATGAGTGAGTGCACGCACCAGGCCCAGAGGCATTGGCAGCGAACCAAGCAGCGCCTGATGGGTGCAGCAGCATCATCCGCAGCAGGTCCAACGCTGTGGGCAGAGGAAAGGAGCGGAGGGAGAGGAGAGGCGACAGAGGGAGGATACATGGAGCAACGACTTTCATGGGAAGATGGTGTTACAAACAGTAGCACGACACAGCTTTGACATGGAAAGATATTGAGTTCTGAAACGTCTCAAAACCTGCAGAGGAGTTATGAAACTTCTCAAAACCTGCAGAGGAGTTCTGAAACGTCTCAAAACCTGCAGGAGAGATTGGCAGCACAGCACAGCACAGCACAGACCTGGAAAGAGGTTGGCAGCAGGCCAGGTTGAGAGCAGGGAGGAGAGCAGTGCATAGTGCTGCGGAGTAAAGGAGGAGGAGTGGTAGTGCGAGGTATCCTTGAGCACAGACACCAATCCGTTTAGCTGCTCCAGTTGCTCTTCTGATAGCACCACAGGCGACGGTGATGATGATGATGGTTGTTGTGATGCAAGCGTAGTGTTAAACTCCTTTAGCTTCTTCATAATGCCATCGTATTGCGCTGAGTCAAACACCAGGTAGCCTCTCTGGTGTTTCAGGGAGGAATGAGGGGGGGGAGAGGGGGGAAGGGTGGAGAAAGGGCGGTGTTGAACTTCTTGAGCTTCTTCATAATCCCGTCGTATTGCGCTGAGTCAAAGACCAAGTAGCCCCTCTGGTGTTTCAGGGAGGAATGAGGGGGGGGAAGGGGGGGAAGGGTGGAGAAAGGGCGGTGTTGAACTTCTTGAGCTTCTTCATAATCCCGTCGTATTGCGCTGAGTCAAAGACCAAGTAGCCCCTCTGGTGTTTCAGGGAGGAATGAGGGGGGGGGAGAGGGGGGAAGGGTGGAGAAAGGGCGGTGTTGAGTGTGTTGACTTCTTGAGCTTCTTCATAATCCCGTCGTATTGCGCTGAGTCAAAGACCAAGTAGCCCCTCTGGTGTTTCAGGGAGGAAGGGGGGGGGGAGAGGGGGGAAGGGTGGAGAAAGGGCAGTGTTGAACTTCTTGAAGCTTCTTCATAATCCCGTCGTATTGCGCTGAGTCAAAGACCAAGTAGCCCCTCTGGTGTTTCAGGAGGAAGGGGGGGGGGGGAGAGGGGGGAAGGGTGGAGAAAGGGCAGTGTTGAACTTCTTGAGCTTCTTCATAATCCCGTCGTATTGCGCTGAGTCAAAGACCAAGTAGCCCCTCTGGTGTTTCAGGGAGGAAGGGGGGGGGGGAGAGGGGGGAAGGGTGGAGAAAGGGCAGTGTTGAACTTCTTGAGCTTCTTCATAATCCCGTCGTATTGCGCTGAGTCAAAGACCAAGTAGCCCCTCTGGTGTTTCAGGGAGGAAGGGGGGGGGGGGAGAGGGGGGAAGGGTGGGAGAAAGGGCAGTGTTGAACTTCTTGAGCTTCTTCATAATCCCGTCGTATTGCGCTGAGTCAAAGACCAAGTAGCCCCTCTGGTGTTTCAGGGAGGAAGGGGGGGGGGGAGAGGGGGGAAGGGTGGAGAAAGGGCAGTGTTGAACTTCTTGAGCTTCTTCATAATCCCGTCGTATTGCGCTGAGTCAAAGACCAAGTAGCCCCTCTGGTGTTTCAGGGAGGGAAGGGGGGGGGGAGAGGGGGGAAGGGTGGAGAAAGGGCAGTGTTGAACTTCTTGAGCTTCTTCATAATCCCATCGTATTGCGCTGAGTCAAAGACCAAGTAGCCCCTCTGGTGTTTCAGGGAGGAAGGGGGGGGGAGGGGGGAAGGGTGGGAGAAAGGGCAGTGTTGAACTTCTTGAGCTTCTTCATAATCCCATCGTATTGCGCTGAGTCAAAGACCAAGTAGCCCCTCTGGTGTTTCAGGGAGGAAGGGGGGGGGGGAGGGGGGGAAGGGTGGAGAAAGGGCAGTGTTGAACTTCTTGAGCTTCTTCATAATCCCGTCGTATTGCGCTGAGTCAAAGACCAAGTAGCCCCTCTGGTGTTTCAGGGAGGAAGGGGGGGGGGGGGGAGAGGGGGGAAGGGTGGAGAAAGGGCAGTGTTGAACTTCTTGAGCTTCTTCATAATCCCGTCGTATTGCGCTGAGTCAAAGACCAAGTAGCCCCTCTGGTGTTTCAGGGAGGAAGGGGGGGGGGGAGAGGGGGGAAGGGTGGAGAAAGGGCAGTGTTGAACTTCTTGAGCTTCTTCATAATCCCATCGTATTGCGCTGAGTCAAAGACCAAGTAGCCCCTCTGGTGTTTCAGGGAGGAAGGGGGGGGGGGGGAGAGGGGGGAAGGGTGGAGAAAGGGCAGTGTTGAACTTCTTGAGCTTCTTCATAATCCCATCGTATTGCGCTGAGTCAAAGACCAAGTAGCCCCTCTGTGTGTTTCAGGGAGGAAGGGGGGGGGGAGAGGGGGAAGGGTGGAGAAAGGGCAGTGTTGAACTTCTTGAGCTTCTTCATAATCCCATCGTATTGCGCTGAGTCAAAGACCAAGTAGCCCCTCTGGTGTTTCAGGGAGGAAGGGGGGGGGAGAGGGGGGAAGGGTGGAGAAAGGGCAGTGTTGAACTTCTTGAGCTTCTTCATAATCCCGTCGTATTGCGCTGAGTCAAAGACCAAGTAGCCCCTCTGGTGTTTCAGGAGGAAGGGGGGGGGGGAGAGAGGGGGAAGGGTGGAGAAAGGGCAGTGTTGAACTTCTTGAGCTTCTTCATAATCCCGTCGTATTGCGCTGAGTCAAAGACCAAGTAGCCCCTCTGGTGTTTCAGGGAGGAAGGGGGGGGGGAGAGGGGGGAAGGGTGGAGAAAGGGCAGTGTTGAACTTCTTGAGCTTCTTCATAATCCCGTCGTATTGCGCTGAGTCAAAGACCAAGTAGCCCCTCTGGTGTTTCAGGAGGAAGGGGGGGGGAGAGGGGGGAAGGGGGTGGAGAAAGGGCAGTGTTGAACTTCTTGAGCTTCTTCATAATCCCATCGTATTGCGCTGAGTCAAAGACCAAGTAGCCCCTCTGGTGTTTCAGGGAGGAAGGGGGGGGGGAGAGGGGGGAAGGGTGGAGAAAGGGCAGTGTTGAACTTCTTGAGCTTCTTCATAATCCCATCGTATTGCGCTGAGTCAAAGACCAAGTAGCCCCTCTGGTGTTTCAGGGAGGAAGGGGGGGGGAGGGGGGGGGGGGAGGGGGGAAGGGTGGAGAAAGGGCAGTGTTGAACTTCTTGAGCTTCTTCATAATCCCATCGTATTGCGCTGAGTCAAAGACCAAGTAGCCCCTCTGGTGTTTCAGGGAGGAAGGGGGGGGGGAGAGGGGGGAAGGGTGGAGAAAGGGCAGTGTTGAACTTCTTGAGCTTCTTCATAATCCCATCGTATTGCGCTGAGTCAAAGACCAAGTAGCCCCTCTGGTGTTTCAGGGAGGAAGGGGGGGGGAGAGGGGGGAAGGGTGGAGAAAGGGCAGTGTTGAACTTCTTGAGCTTCTTCATAATCCCGTCGTATTGCGCTGAGTCAAAGACCAAGTAGCCCCTCTGGTGTTTCAGGGAGGAAGGGGGGGGGGGGGGGGGAGAGGGGGGAAGGGTGGAGAAAGGGCAGTGTTGAACTTCTTGAGCTTCTTCATAATCCCGTCGTATTGCGCTGAGTCAAAGACCAAGTAGCCCCTCTGGTGTTTCAGGAGGAAGGAAGGGGGGGGGAGAGGGGGGAAGGGTGGAGAAAGGGCAGTGTTGAACTTCTTGAGCTTCTTCATAATCCCATCGTATTGCGCTGAGTCAAAGACCAAGTAGCCCCTCTGGTGTTTCAGGGAGGAAGGGGGGGGGAGAGGGGGGAAGGGTGGAGAAAGGGCAGTGTTGAACTTCTTGAGCTTCTTCATAATCCCATCGTATTGCGCTGAGTCAAAGACCAAGTAGCCCCTCTGGTGTTTCAGGGAGGAAGGGGGGGGGGGAGAGGGGGGAAGGGTGGAGAAAGGGCAGTGTTGAACTTCTTGAGCTTCTTCATAATCCCATCGTATTGCGCTGAGTCAAAGACCAAGTAGCCCCTCTGGTGTTTCAGGGAGGAAGGGGGGGGGGAGAGGGGGGAAGGGTGGAGAAAGGGCAGTGTTGAACTTCTTGAGCTTCTTCATAATCCCATCGTATTGCGCTGAGTCAAAGACCAAGTAGCCCCTCTGGTGTTTCAGGGAGGAAGGGGGGGGGGAGAGGGGGGAAGGGTGGAGAAAGGGCAGTGTTGAACTTCTTGAGCTTCTTCATAATCCCATCGTATTGCGCTGAGTCAAAGACCAAGTAGCCCCTCTGGTGTTTCAGGGAGGAAGGGGGGGGGGAGAGGGGGGAAGGGTGGAGAAAGGGCAGTGTTGAACTTCTTGAGCTTCTTCATAATCCCATCGTATTGCGCTGAGTCAAAGACCAAGTAGCCCCTCTGGTGTTTCAGGGAGGAGGGGGGGGGGAGAGGGGGGAAGGGTGGAGAAAAGGGCAGTGTTGAACTTCTTGAGCTTCTTCATAATCCCATCGTATTGCGCTGAGTCAAAGACCAAGTAGCCCCTCTGGTGTTTCAGGGAGGAAGGGGGGGGGAGAGGGGGGGGGAAGGGTGGAGAAAGGGCAGTGTTGAACTTCTTGAGCTTCTTCATAATCCCATCGTATTGCGCTGAGTCAAAGACCAAGTAGCCCCTCTGGTGTTTCAGGGAGGGAGGAGGGGGGGGGGGAGAGGGGGGAAGGGTGGAGAAAGGGCAGTGTTGAACTTCTTGAGCTTCTTCATAATCCCATCGTATTGCGCTGAGTCAAAGACCAAGTAGCCCCTCTGGTGTTTCAGGGAGGAAGGGGGGGGGGGAGAGGGGGGAAGGGTGGAGAAAGGGCAGTGTTGAACTTCTTGAGCTTCTTCATAATCCCATCGTATTGCGCTGAGTCAAAGACCAAGTAGCCCCTCTGGTGTTTCAGGGAGGAAGGGGGGGGGGGAGAGGGGGGAAGGGTGGAGAAAGGGCAGTGTTGAACTTCTTGAGCTTCTTCATAATCCCGTCGTATTGCGCTGAGTCAAAGACCAAGTAGCCCCTCTGGTGTTTCAGGGAGGAAGGGGGGGGGGAGAGGGGGGAAGGGTGGAGAAAGGGCAGTGTTGAACTTCTTGAGCTTCTTCATAATCCCGTCGTATTGCGCTGAGTCAAAGACCAAGTAGCCCCTCTGGTGTTTCAGGGAGGAAGGGGGGGGGAGAGGGGGGAAGGGTGGAGAAAGGGCAGTGTTGAACTTCTTGAGCTTCTTCATAATCCCATCGTATTGCGCTGAGTCAAAGACCAAGTAGCCCCTCTGGTGTTTCAGGGAGGAAGGGGGGGGGGAGAGGGGGGAAGGGTGGAGAAAGGCAGTGTTGAACTTCTTGAGCTTCTTCATAATCCCATCGTATTGCGCTGAGTCAAAGACCAAGTAGCCCCTCTGGTGTTTCAAGGGGGGGGGGGGGGAGAGGGGGGAAGGGTGGAGAAAGGGCAGTGTTGAACTTCTTGAGCTTCTTCATATCCCATCGTATTGCGCTGAGTCAAAGACCAAGTAGCCCCTCTGGTGTTTCAGGGAGGAAGGGGGGGGGGAGAGGGGGAAGGTGGAGAAAGGGCAGTGTTGAACTTCTTGAGCTTCTTCATAATCCCATCGTATTGCGCTGAGTCAAAGACCAAGTAGCCCCTCTGGGTGTGTGGAGAGGACAGAGGGGAGAGGAGAGCGGTAGGAGAGAGAGAGAGAGAGAGAGCCGATGGAGAGGGGCAGGTGGGAGAGGGAAGTTGGAGGATGGCAGAGCGACTGAAGACACATTACAAGATGACATTCAAGACATGACATGACATGACATGACATGACATGACATGGGTCTCAGTACACGCAGCATGCCATAATTCACATACATCTATGGTGCCGCATGTGCGTGCCTCGCACAACCATGACATGTTATGGCATGATGTTCCATGATACGGCACGTGACATGGCATAGCATGAGATGGCATGAGATGAATGGAATGACCTAACATGTAGCAGCATGGGATGAGAGGCATAGAAGAAAAAGCATGGTCAGCCACCAAGCAACCAAACAACTGATTGACTGACCAACTGACCTTAGGGAACAGCTTGACCTGTGGTGCTTGTGCTGCGAGGTGACTTTTGAGTCGACTCAAAAGTCACTGACCAACTGACCAACTGACCTTGGGGAACAGCTTGTCCTGTGGTGCTTGTGCTGCCACCGCTGCTGGTGCTGCTGATCGGAGAACAAGCATTGTGAGGAGGCAGGTTGACAAGAGAAACGCGATCAAACCACCAGCGTTGGGCAAGAAAACAAGAACAGAACAAACAGCATTCAAGGGATATGAACCCTTGGAGAGTGACGCTGCAGCAGGAAATTCCAAGGGCAGAAAGAAACAATGCAGTCAAACCAGTCAAACTAGTCATCCAAGTCAAACTTTTGAAGCGCCTTGGAGGTTATGTGGTGTTGGGGCTTGAAATTATTTCTGAGGCGCCTCACGAGTTACCTGGTGGGGCTTGCACAGGGGCTCGTGAGGCAGGGGTAGGTCCGCCCCACGAGGGTGTTGCTGATGGCACGTATGCTTGGCCTGGTGACAGATAGATAGAACCACATGCAAACAGAAAAACGCCAAGGATGGGGGGGGGGTAAGACAAGGGTGCGAGAAAAGACGGACGATTGGCACACAATACGCTAGTAAGTATCCTGAACTCTCTGGAAACATTTCCCTGAAGATTCAATAATATGGGGCGAGGGGTGCGTGGGAGCGTGGCCAGCAACAAGCAAAAAAGCACAAGGCAGAGTGCATTAGTTATCGAGAGGCGAGAGACACGGGGAAGCGAGCGCATGAGTGAATGGGCGCATGGCACGGGTCCGGCTACGGGTAGTACATTTACACGACCACGGCAACGCACACACCCACCACCAGTGTACGGGTCAGGAATGGTGGCCCCAAGTGGCATGGCAGGTCCCTGGCCTGTGTTGCGCAGGATGAAATCCACCACCTGCTCTCGGTTACCCCAGCGGCAGATCCTGTGACAGCAACCACTTGTCCGCCACAATCGTATGGGTTGTCTGGTGTGGTGGGGGGGGGGGGGGAGGGAGGGGAGGCGGACAGGGGAGGAGGGCACTGAAGAGGAGGAAACATGGCCTGTGTTGCGCAGAATAAAATCCACCACCTGCTCTCGGTACCCCAGCGGCAGATCCTGTGACAACAACCACTTGTCCGCCACGTCATATGGGTTGTCTGTTGTGGGGGGGCGGCGTGGGGGAGAGCAGAAAATGGGGGGGAAGCGGGGCGAGGGCGGAAGGGGCAAGTGGTGCGAAGGGCAAACCAAACCAGTGACACAAAGACGAAAAGGCCGCAGATGACTGAATGAGAGGCCGAATGGGATGGGGATGGAAGTGAGAGGGATGGGACGGGACGGGACGGAACAGGACAAGGCAAAACAGAACAAGACGGACCTCCGTGGTTGTATGGCAGCTTGCGCACAGGCACTCCATCTCCAATGTCCACGTCAAAGACTGCATGGGTGATGAGAGGTGGGTGGGTGAGGTGGTGAGAGAGTGAGAAGCACAGCAGTAAGACAGTGGGAGTGAGACACAAGCGACAGCAAGGCATCAGCTAAAGAAAGCAATCGTCCATATGCGAGTACAATGTCAAATGTAGCCCCCTTTAACTGAACAAAGAGGCACCAGCAGCAGCAGCAGCAGCAGCAGCAGCAGCAGCAGCAGCAGCAGCAGCGGTGTGGTGGTGGCAGCGGCGGTGACCGCGGCGGCGGCGCCAGCAACAGCTATATTTGTATGACTTTTGAGAATTCTCAAAAGTCATACAAATACGGCGGCGGCGCCAGCAACAGCAGCGCGGCGGCGCGCGGCAGCAGCAGCAGCAGCAGCAGAGAGTGTCAGCAGCAGCAGCAGAGGAGTGTCAGCAGCAGCACACACCGTAGTGTCATACTGCTTGCCCTCATACATCTTTGCATCGACAGGCTCCGATGGACCATCCACCACCTCCCCTATCTGCACAACACCACACACACACAGCAACCGAGTCCAACACACACACAAACAGTCACCGACCTATATGAGAAGCCAAACCTAAAACTATTTATGCATTCACACGCATCAAGTTGCTGGCAAGTGTTGCCTTATTAATCGAAAAATGCAGGACAAGCAAACAGCAGGCGCGGTACAGGTGTACATGCTCGTTGTACCCACTTTTCCAGTTGAGCTCCTTCTGGCTCCACTGGTATGCCACCCCCCAGGAAAGATAAGCTGACAGGAACAAGCACACCAACAGACAAGCAGAGACATACTCTATGGAAGCTCCTCATTATGCTCACCTTTCCCAATTGAACTCCTTCTGGCTCCACTGGTAAGCCACCCCCACATCATTCTCCCGCACTATCAGTGTCTGCCCGTCCTTTTGACCTGCCTCCCATGGTAACCGTACACATGCACGAATAGGTTATGCACATGCAGCAACATGCACTGCACGCAGTTAGCCAGTGACAATCAAGTAGTTGCCGATCATACAAACTACGACACGATTTTTAGGAACCTCACCTGGTTGCTGCAGTGCTTCAATGCCTGGCAGCTCGTCCACGTTCACCCCCCCCTACTGTCTTTCAAAGGCATTACACATCGAGTCGACTCAAGATTCCATGCTACTTGTAAGAGCGATCAGGCATCTCACTCACCTGGTTGCTGCAGTGCTTCAATGCCTGGCAGCTCGTCCACGTTCACCCCCCTACTGTCTTCCTGGCAGGGTTAGGTCGTGGGAAGGGACCAGGGACAGGGACAGGGACAGGGACGGGGACGGGGATAGGGACGGGGATAGGGCCAGGGATAAGGCGAGAGGCACGAACAGGGCGAGCCTGGTATTCAATGCATACCACTGAAACCAATTCCATGGGACAGGACAGGATCAAGTAGAGGGTACGATAGAACCGTGGTGTGTGCGCGCATGTGGACGTGTGTGCATGCGTGGTGCGAATGCAAGTGGAATGTGATAGTTAAATGTACATTTGTGAGGGTGGTAAAGCGCAAGAAAAAGGGGGGAGGCAGAGGGGGGAGGCAGAAAGGGGTGATAAAGGGGGGAGGCATAGGGAGGGGGGCAGAAGGGGGTGGTACAGGGGGAAGCCGAGGGGGGAGGCAGAGGGAGCAAGATCTGAGGTAAGAAGGAGAGAACACAAGGCTGGAGGGACGGAGGGGGCGGGAGCGAAGGACGGAAAAGGAAAAAAAGCAGCAACAAAAGGAGAAGCAGGGAGAGTCAGGCTCACTTCTTCCTAGAGGCCTTCACCCTCTCCTCGAAGCTGGCCCGCAGGCCCTCTGGTGCCACGCGAGCGGCGTCTCTTGTCCATATGCGGAAGCAACCATCTGCAGAAGCTGTGATGAGGTCTCCGTTAGGGAGAAAGGCGACGGCCCAGACGCAGGAAGGATGCTCCAGTACCTGCATGCACTCGCCGTCTGACACACAGACAGACAGGCAGACAGGCAGACAGGCAGACAGGCAGACAGGCAGACAGGTCACAGCAGCAGGGACATGACGAGAACGGCAGAGGAGAAAAGAGAGTTGTGAGTCAACGCAAACATCAGCTTAGAAAGGCGACAGACTAACGCGGAAAGGGTGCTCCAGAACCTGCATGCATTCACCGTCAGAACCACAGATGGGTCAGACCCTGTAGACATGGCGATAAGAGGAGAGGAGACAAGGGCTTTGCGATTGGTTCACGGATAAGGGGAGACACTGCGTGCGCGTCACTACATGCGTGTCATTGCGGGCGCGTCCTCAATCATCAAGGAGGCCTGGGGATATGCCGATAACTGGAAGGAAGGAAGTGGCTTGTGAAAAAGTGTGGGTATAACTATCACTGTGCTTCCATGCCTGACCGGTTCCATAACAAAACACTTATTTATACCATCGTTCCCATCCCTCCTATCACTCCCCTCCCATTTCTCCCATCCATCCCTCCCTTCAACATCATGACCACTCACATACCCTTCCACAGGCGAGCAGTGGCGTCCTCACTGGCGGAAGCAATGAGCTCGCCCCCTGCCGTGGATGCCACGGAGTACACCAGCGCTGTGTGCCCCACCATCTCCAGCAGAGGCTGCAGCGACAGGTCCCACAGCTTCACCGAGCTGTTGGGGCGGGGAAGAGGGGAAGAGGGGAGAGAGAAGGCAGGGAGGGCGCGTGAAGGAGCGATGGCAGAGAGACATGAGAATATGGCCAGAAAATGGGAAGAAGAAGAACAAGAGAAGGGGAGAAAAAAAGTTGAAACTTGACGGGAAGATGATATAAATACTGGGACCAAGAGGATGGGGGAGAGGGAGGTGGATGGTTGAAAGGAAGAACTTGGTTCATGGAGAGGCATCGAGCAGTTGAAGAGGGGAGGGGGGGGGGGCAAGATGCAGCAGAATCACTGGCGCGACATGGATATGAAACAGAGAACTTACACTCCCAACTCACGACCTCTACACCCCACCCACATCACCCGTATCTCCCCCACCCATTCAGTCACCCAAGGCCAATCCATCCACCCACTCATAGACTCATTGATTTTTTCATCCACCCATCCACCCCATTACTCAACAAGCCCACGCACCCATCATGGGAGGCTGAGAGGAGGCCAACCGCTGGCAGCAGTGCAAGGCCACGCACAGAGTCTGGTGCAAGGGCACACAGCACACGCGCCCTCCCCCCACCACACACACACACACGCACGCGTGCGCACGCGCCGCCCCCCCCCCCCCACACACACACACACGCGCGCGCACGCACACACACACACACACACACACACACACACACGCACACACACACACACACGCATGCACACTCGCGCAAGCTCGCGCGCGCACACATGCACGCACGCACTCATACACACAGCAGGGATGTAGAGGTGAGTAGTGAAGGAAAATAGGAGAGGGGAGGTAGGTAGAAAAAGAGTTGGGGAGGGACCCCAAGGAACGATGGGTGGGAAGGGAAGCGGGATCACGATAGTGGCGCGAAGCTAAGGGGAGGAGTGTGGGCAACGAGCAAGAGAGAGGGAGAAGAACAGGGCGGGAAGAGAGGGGGGACGGGAGTGGAGAGACGAGAAAGGGGAGCACCTGAATGCGCCCGGACGGACTTAATGCAGGAGGAGCCGTCCCAGCACCGAATGGTGCAGTCTCCTGACCCTGTATGCATGCGCTCACAGGTACGCACGATCAAAACACACGTGCGCAGAGCACCCAGACACAAACGCGTACACTCAGGTGCTCACACCCCACACATGGGCAATAGGCACTCAGGCACACACGCACACGCCGGCACACACACATGGCCACACAAGGGAGGGAACAAGGGCAGCGATTGGGGAGGGGAGAGATGGACGGATGGCTACAGCTAGCCGCGGATGGATGGCAAAGCTGCCACGTGGCAAAAACGAGGGGACACAAGCAGAGAAGAGTGGAAAAGAGCAGACAAAGGGGGACACAAGGGGCACGGAGGGGAAACGAGGTAGGAAGCGGGGGGCCAGCGATGGGAAGTGAGGGAGTGTGAGTGGTGAGACCTGAGAAGAGCAATCCACTGGAAGAAGCGGCAAGGCACAACACTGATGACTCGTGGCCTGACGCTTGAGTCGACTCAAGAAACGATGGGAGGTGAGAGAGTATGAGCAGTGGTGAGACCTGAGAAGAGGAGCCCATTGGGAGCAGCGGCAAGGCAGAGCACTGATGACTCGTGGCCTGACAGCTGCTGCTGGCAGTGCCCGTCTCGCCACACCCGGATGGTCCTGACAGGGGGAGGTGCGGGGAGCAGGAGAAACACAGAGCAGAACGACAAAGTGAGGGGGTATAGTGGGGATTCTTTGTTACAGGGAGAGAGGCAAGCACAAATAACTGGTGGGAGGATGGCTGATAGACACTATCTATCAAGCAAATGACATGAGACAAGCCATACTAAGTCATACCATACCATGCCAGACCATAACAAACAGTTTGATGCAAAGGACGCTCTAAAGCGAGAGGAAGAACTTACTTGTCCACAGAGCACGTGGCGATGTCCCCTGCTGCAGTCGCCGTGACCCCAGTCACCTGCTGCTCATGCCCTGCCAACCGCTGCGTCACCTCCCCTGCCTCCAAATCCCACACCCACACCAAAACCAGACAATCCATCCCCCCCGATACTAGCACACCCTTCCCAGCTCCTGCAGCATCACTCGAGCCCTCCCCTCCCCCCCCTCCCCCCCCTGCTCCTGCTCCAGTTTGTCGCCCAGGAATCCACGCCAGGGGTCCCACGAAGCTCGTGTGACCCACGAGGGTTTTTATCCAGGCCGAATTCGCTGCTCGTTGCGGAGCCCGCTGACGTGGACGCAGGCGCGCGCCGCCACAGCTTGACGGTTTTGTCCCGGGATGACGTGGCAAAGCAATCCTCGCTGATCACCGCAATCCCTCGCACCTGCGTTGGGAAGCAGTTGTGGGATGGTGGCTCGTTGTAAGAGGGGTTGAGATTTGCTGAGATCCTGAATTCAAGGATTCATGCCAGCTTCAAAGCAATACAATGGTGGATTTGTAATCAAAGTAAGTGGGAACGGAATTTGCCGGTAATTTACGTCACTAGGACGTCGAATTGGCCAGCCAGGGCGTTTGAATACATGGACAGTGGTCAACGAATCAGAAAAGGCTATCATCGTGTACACAGAAGACACTGGAAGAGACTGAAGAGAGGCAACGCGCAGTGGATCGATCTCGCGTTCAAGTCAGGTTCTCCTCAGAGCTCGCGACCAGTCCCGGGGAAAGAGTACCAGACGGAACGGATGGGACGAAAAAAAGCAGGCGATGAGATTAACTCACGTCCTCGTCATGTGCGAACGTCTCGAACGACAACTGGTACTCTCCACCACCCATCTGTGCGACGATTTTCCAACGACAGTTCTACGGCACTGTCGTCGCAAGTACCAAATGGACGCGGTCGACACGCCGGTCGTAACGATCAATAAGGAGCTATGTTGGCAACATAAGGATGGGCCACTGGACGCTTCAGCAATCAGATTCCTAATGTGCGATCTGCTTCGAGAATCGGTATGTTTATGGTTGTGACTCACTAATTGGACGATGGCGTACCGGGTGTAGAGCCGACAACAGAGCCTGCGATTCATGAGCCTGCTACTTACGATAACACAAATATAGATTATGTCATTCTTCTTACACAGCTTGAGTGCAGGTACTGTTGATCTGAAACGGGGGATACTGCAATACTAAATACAACATTCACTGATAGCGCAGCACGGCCTTACATACTAGCACAAGCTGGGAAACTGTGAAGTACTACCTACATCACACCATGAAAACGCTTCTCAACACACCAAACACGCCAATCTAGGGTTCCACCCAAATCCAAACAAGCAGTTTTCCTTTTTTTGTGCAATCATGTGATCAGTCAGTTCTTGTCACTGGGAGTGGTGGAGGGAGGAGGGGTTGCAGGAGCTGCAGGGGTTGAAGGGGGGGGCACAGCAGCCTTGGCAGCATCAGTGGTCGCTGCGTCGTCTCCCGAGGAGGCCGCCTTCAGCTCTGACTGAAACTCCTTTGCCGCCTGCGGGAAATAGAAGGTTAAAGTACTCAATGAAACTGCTGACGCTCTTGACCTTCAAAAAGAGCTCCGAGAGTGAGGATGCATGGAATGAACGGCAAAAAACTAAGGCTCAAATGGCGAAAGTCCAGATGCACTGTCTGAGAGAGAGTGACAAAAAAAGAAAGGAACAAACAAGAAAACAAACAAACAAAAAACCTGCTACATGTGTGAGTAAAATGCGTGAAAATGCGTCCATGATGCAACATGACAACCATGGGGTAACAATACATATCACAACAATGCACATCCGACGAGACGAAGCAGACTCGAACGTCATTAGTGCAATTAATGGGTGGCTGCCTTGAAAACGACGGGTAACTTTTTAAAAGAAAGTCCTTGCTAGTAGTGAAGTTTCCCAAGAGACACCATCGCGTCTGCACTTTTCCGTAAATGTATCAAACGTGAATGTACTCTACACTTTTTCAAATCAACAAGCATTGCTGCGAGTCGACTGTACATTCCACACGGAAAAAGGCGCAAGCACTCATGACTTCAAGATCACTCACATCCTGAAAGCCCTTGACGGTCTTTCCTAGACCCTTGCCGACTTCAGGAAGCTTCTTCGGGCCGAAGAGCACGAGCGCTACACCGCCGATGACAAGAAGCTCCGGAACGCCCAGGCCAAACAACCCGCACACCACCCGCGACGAACCCTGACGGCTGGATCGAAGCTTGGGGGCCGTGAAGGAGACCGCACCGCTGTGTCTGAGGGAACCGGCAGGAGATGCTCCCAGGAAGGCGCTTCGGATGGGCCCTGCGGAGAGGTTGTTTGATGCGTCGACAGAAAGCACGTATCGGGGTTGGAAAGGACAAGTGCCGATGAGGGGAAGCAACAAAATAATGCTGAGAGGAGAGAATGAGAGCAGGACGGTGACGGAGGCTGAAAAAACTGGGGACGAAAGGAAGCGAGAGGGAGGAGAGTGATGGGGAAAGAGGGGTTGAGGAGGGCGGAGGAGGGAGAAAAGGGGAGGGGGAGAGAACGAGTGAAGGGGGGAGGAGGGAGAAAAGGGGGAGGGGGGAGAGAACGAGTGAAGGGGGGAGAGAGCAGCGCGCGTGCAGAGATAGAGAGAGAGAGAGAGAGAGAGAGAGAGAGAGAGAGAGAGAGAGAGAGAGAGGGGGGGGGGGGGGGGTGGTTGGGGGGGGTGTGGGAGGGGGGGGGAAGGTGGGAGGGAGAGGCCTGAACGGATCGAAGAATATACTATTATAACTTACCCCTGCACACAGCATGTTGACGGGCTGTAGCAGTGACTGAGACTGGCACAATCAATGCGGGACACACGGTCGCAGCCATTAGCGCCATCTTGTTACGCAGCCTAAGGGTCGACGGGCTGTGTCAGGCGAGCCGCAGCGAACAGAACGCGTCTTGCAAGAAGAGCAAGAAACTCTAGAGATCCACTTTCCTTCAGAAAAACGTGTTTCGTGCAATGGAACTGGCTTCGATGTTTTTTGCCGTGTGATCCCTTCGAGATCGGGTGGGGGAAGGGGGGGGAGACGGGGGCGGGAGAAGGTTGGCTGCGGTGATGGACGCACAAAACAGGTAAGGGAAGCTCCCTCTCTGGCAGTGGTTTGGCGTACGATTTGGGAAAGAATATTGACGTGGCAGACCGCCACCTGTCTGGTTTCCAGTGGGCCAAGTTGGATATCGAGCTCTGGTTGTGACACAGAAAATCTTTGGAAGTCTTCCAAGTGTATATACTGTAGACTATGTATCCACGTGAAAGTTTTGATAGGAGTTTATAGTTTGTTTCAGAGTTAGTTTGTTTCTTAGTTCCAACAAAGCTATGACCAATACAAGATTTGGGCGAAACACTATCCAAGGAGATTATATGCTCAAATCTCTCACACTATTCCGAAAACAAGTTCTTTCGCATGCGAATTGTAGTCGCACCGAAGAAATGGTTTGCCTAAAACATTTATAACCCAAGATCCGCATAAGTCGAATGGTATAGTCATGCTGGTCCATGTTAATTTCCGGGCTCACCTACCGATGGGCAGGGAAGTGCATGCACTTGAAGTGGGTGTAATTGACATGATATATTATGTATACAATTATGTATACATATATCTATCTATAAGTGCTTGTAGCTGTAGCTGTAATTGTTATACACTCTGTTTGTGCACCCTTCCATGTTATTTCTTGAATCTCGTGCCACCTTCCATGCCTTATTTCTTGAATCTCGTGCCAAATGCACCCACCGATAGACCCTGCAATAGCAAGCCTCGTCGAGCAGCCCGCTGCACTCCCCGTCGCGCGCCCCGCTGGTCTCGCCGCGGCCTCGTTTCGGCCCCCCATCACGCTCCCTGCTGGTCTCGTCTCATCGCCCTGTGGCCCTCCCGTCGCCCCGCCCCCAATTTCGGATGCCAGCGCAGTCGCCAGCGCCCGACGCCAGTGCGGACACCGGCGCCCGGCGCCAGCGCGGACTCCAGCGCCTGCGCTAGCGCCATGGACGGACGCCAGCGCCAGCAGCTGTCAGACATCCACTAGACATCCCCAATTGATCATAGGGAAGGGTTACAGGCATGTCGGCCTGGGGGGTTATGGGCGCACTCACCCGTTACACAATAAGCAGCAAGACGAGTGCTAGATTGCGCAACTTGTGCACTCACCCGCAGGGCAACTAGTGCTACTCAACAAAGAACCTGACCAAGAAGCAGGTGCATGTGGCGGCAGGTCGCATGGAGAGCGGGTGCGTGCGACGGCAACGTGCGGTCAACGGCAGCACCTGCCGCTCAACAGCAGCAAACGAAAACGAGAGGGCAGTATCAACAGGACTAAGCAAGAATGTGTCATTGAATGGAAGAATTGGGTACAAGTAGCAAACCCTAGTTGGGGTTGTACCCCATACTGGCTACCCCACTACAGCCTACCAACATAACACAGTTTAACACACCCCCATAGGCAAAGTGGGGGAGAACAAAGGGTCACAAGACCAGTCTAGCAAAGCAAAGCAAGCCCAGGGTGGATCACAACGTCACCACACTCCGAGCACAAGCAAAGGCCACAAGGCCAGTTCACATGCAGTGCTAGATATAGTACAAGACAAGCAACACAGTGATCAAGACCTAGCAAGCAAGCAACGAGATATATATAAAGGACAGTACAAAGAAAGTCAAGCAGTAAGCAAATGAGGGAATGTGGACACAAGGCCTAAGGAAGTACAGTGCCGCTGATGATCACTAGGCGGGAGCGCCTTGGTGAAGATATCAGCAGTGTTGGCCTTCGAGTCCACGTACACAAGCCGAAGCTGACCGCGCTGCTGAAGCTCTCGAGCAAGAAAGTAGCGAAGAGCAATGTGCTTCGTCCTGTGCTCCAGTCTGTGCTCCTGACACAAGGCAAGGGCCGCCTTGTTGTCACCGTACAGAACTGGAGGAGAACTAGGCCGCTCTCCCAAGTCGAGGTAGGTGAGCCAGCGTAACTCCTGGGCAGCCATGGCTGTGGCGTAGATCTCAGCCTCACAACTAGAGCCGAGAACAGAAGAAGAGCGGGTGGACCAGGTCGCATGCAAGTCATCAGGTACATGAGGCAGCCCACAAGCTCTGGATACGGGCCACTCGGCTCTACGGACTCGTCCGGAGGTGGAGCTGAGAGCGAGTGGCTGGTAGCCAGAGGTGTGGCCTGTGGTGAGGAGAACTGGAAGCCGAAGCGCTGAAGGACCTGCTGCACCATGTGTGACTGATGGTGCGGCGAGCTCTGTCCCGGGTGATCTGCAAGCCAAGGTAGCTATGCAGCTCACCCAGGTCAGTGCACGTGTGTCTCTTCTGCAGCTCCGACTTCACACGAGCGAGTGCCTCAGTGTCAGCAGTAGCAAAGACCAAGTCGTCGACGTACACGAGAATGTAGAACGGCGGCAGCGACGTGTCTGTGCGCAGAAACAGCGACGGGTCAGCAGTAGACGGCGCGAACCCAAGAGCCGCAAGTGTAGTCCTCAGTGTGTCGTGCCACTCGCGTGGCGCCTGGCGGAGACCGTAGACTGGCCGGCGGAGGCTCCACTGGGTACCAGGAGGAAACGACCCAGTAAAGCCAGGTGGGCGGCGCAGCCAGATCTCCTCGTGCAGGCTGCCCTGCAGGAACGCTGTGCTGAAGTCAAGAGAGTGAAGCTCGTAGTCACGCTGAGCAGCAACGTGCAGCAGAACCCGAAGAGTGGTCATCTTCGGGGTGGGGGAGAAGGTCTGGAAGAAGTCGACCCCCTGACGCTGACTGAAGCCTCTAGCAACGTAACGAGCCTTGAAGACAGGCGGAGAACCTGGCGGCCGCTTCACCCTGAAAATCCACATGCCATCGACGATGTTCGCCCCAGGAGGGGGAACCTCGTCGACGTAGGTGCCTGTGGACTTCCAGGATGCCATCTCTGCGTCCATGGCTGTCTGCCACTGAGAGGAGTAGGGACCCGAGATCGCCTCTGCGTAAGTGCGCAGAGTGGGGATGTCTAGTGCATCCGGGTCTCCCTCAGGGGCAAGCAGCGAGGACACAAGATGAGGTAAAGCAGCAGCGAGACACTCAAAGTCCTCCTGCCTGTCCTCAAGGACGTCCGTGCAAAGAGCACACTCACCTCCGACGGACGGAGGACAGACAGACGCAGACTCAGACCCAGCAACAAGGCGAGCAGCGTAGTCTAGACGACAGGCAGCAGCAAAGTCAACCAACTCAGCAACCAGAGCAGACGCAGCCGAGGACTCAAAGGTAGGGTCAGTGACAATAGTAGCTAGGAGACGCGTGACAGTAGGGTGCTCAGCACGATACCGGTCAGACTCAGGGTCCGGAACAGCAGGCAAAGAGGACGCAGGAGGAGACGGCAGAGGGACACGCTGAGGAGCAGTAGAGGGACGCAGAGTCATGTAGTGAGTGCCTGGGACAGGAGGAGGACGCTCACGACGGACACGACGACCAGTGCGAGCAGTACGGACAGGCGACGCAGGACGAGACTCAGGCTCACGATGCTCTGTAAGACCTCCTGTGGGACCAGTGTAAGGAGAGGGAGCAGGGAGAGGCGAGGCAGGCGGTAACTGTGACTGCGGCTGGACAGTCGGAGGACACTCGACGGAGGGAGGAGGACAAGGAGGAGGAGCCTGCCCAAGAACCTGCTGAAGGAGCGGTACGAAGTACGGCCGCGGCCGCGCAGCGTCTCCAGAAGCAGAAGAGACTCCAGCGTCCGGGTCCCCAGCACCAGCAGCAGCTCCACCACTCGGGTCCTCAGCTCCAGCAGCAGCTCCACCAGGTGGGTCCGCAGCACCAGCAGCAGCACCACCCCCAGGGTCCGCAGCACCGCAAGGAAGAGCACCCCCAGAGTCGGCAGCTACAACTCCGCTAGCGCCGCCAGCTCCAGAGTCCCCAGCTCCAGCAGCTCCAGTCGTAGCGCTCCCAGAACAACCAGTCCCGGCAGCTCCAGTACCCCCAGCTCCAGCCGAGCCACTAGGACGGCGAAAGCGCCGGACGTACCAGTCACGAAGCTGCTGTGGTGTGAGAGACTGCTCAGCACCCCGAACCGGAGCACCCCCAGACGCAGCAACCCGAGGCTCCGTAGGCTCAGTAGCAGCACCCCCAGGCTCAGTACCCGCAGGCGCAGCACCCCCAGACTCAGCACCCCCAGACTCCGCACACGCCGGCTCAGCACCCCCAGTCGCAGCACCCCCAGGCTCAGCACCCCCAGGCGCCGAACTCTCAGGCACAGTACCCTCAGCTCCAGCACCCGTAGTCCCAGCACCCCCAGGCCCAGCACCCGCAGGCTCAGCACTCCCAGCAGCACCACCTGCAGCAGCACCTGAGTCACCTGTGACCTCGACAGGCTCAGCGACGGGAGGAGGATCTACCTGAGAGACACCTGAAGGAGCAGGACCCTGAGGGGGGAGGGGGTCTACCGGAGGGGGACCAGGAGCAAGGAAAAGCGGCGGGGGAGGGAGGGGGGCAGTACGGTAGGGGAAGAGACGGTAAAAAGGGACCGACTCGTCAAAGGTGACGTCCTGAGAGGCGAAGACCCGGCGCGAGGTGGGGTGGTAAAACTGCCAGCCCGGCGCGTCAGGGACAAAGCCAAGGAAGACACAGGGAAGCGTGCGGGAGGAGAGCTTGTCCGCGGACGTATCGCGGACAAGGGCACGAGCACCCCACACCCGGAAGCGCGACGCATCGCCAACCTCCCCCGTCCAACGCAGTGTGGGCGAGGTCTCCAGCAAGGAGACACGGGGCCAGAGGTTGAGCTGATGCGCGGCGTACCGGACAGCAAACGGCCACAGAAAATGGGGAGCCGCCGCGTGGACCAAGGAGGTACGAGCGACCTCCATGACCAGGCCAATGCGGCGCTCAGC